TGAAGATCGGTCGAGTCGTTGGGAAAATATGAAGGATTGAAATTTGAAAAGTTTATTTAAGCATTTATCAGAGTAAATGATAATTAAGGATAAATTCGATCAATTTGCTGTTTTTTCTTACTATTTCTAGATGTTTACGCATTTTTTCACTTGCCACAACGTTGAACGACCAGGTGCGGTAGTTGCTAGATAGCTGTTCTGTGACTTGTACGTTGAAGTTCTTCTCAATATCGTTAAACTGACCTACAATAGAATTTCCAAAAATACCAGCCCACACGTTCAATTTCTGAGGGTTTTGTGTGTGCACCTCGTGAAAATCCCTGGGGTTGTCCTCAGCCCATTAGCGACAGTTGTGCCGATTAACTACACCGTTCAAAAAGAAAGTACGCTCATCCGAAAAACACACATTAAATAGTAAATTATTATCATTCGCCACTCGTTCACTCATAGTTTCACAAAATTGCAAGCAACGATCAAAATCGTCTTCGTTGAGTTCTTGTACCAACTGAATTTTGTATGGGTGGAACTTGTGTTTTTTTTAATATCCTTTGGAAACTTGTACGATTCCCGCCGGTCTCATTGGCTAATTTTCTTGTACTCAGAATACTGTCCATGGCAACTTGGCCCAATACGAATAACTCCATAGCTTCATTTACTACAGGAATTTCCCTCTGCCTCTTTTTATTCATAACGGAACCAGTTTCGCGAAATTTTGCTACTAACTGGCGAACAATTTTGCCATAAAGGTGTTTGTCAGGATGGCGTTCATTGAATATCTGCGCAACCCGATTGCAAACATCTAGAAATAATAAGAAAAGACAGCAAATTGGTCGAAGGAATTTATCCTTATAATTTACTCTGATAAATGTTTAAATAAACTTTTCAAATTTCAATCCTTCATATTTTCCCAACGACTCGACCGATCTTCAAAAACGAAGCAGGAAAGTATAGAGAATAGAAAGCCCTTTTCATTGCGGTAATTTTCTGAAAAAAAAATTACCCTGGCCGTTATGCCTTGCGGAACGTTTTCGATGGGCCACCCTGTATAGAGCATAGCCGTTAGTTTTTCCTTGATTACAATTTAAATAAACATTTTAACAATGGAAGTTTGTTGTTTATTTTCCATTTAAACTAATATAAAATTAAAAATTGCATAAATTAATTAATCGCTCATCGCATGAATTAAAATTATACAATTGAAGTGAATAGTTGATAAATAAATAAAAAACATATTAAATTACAAGGTAAACTTCTAGTTAACTGAAATTTTAAATGGCTTAAATATGTGCTCTAATATTACCGGCTTATTTTGTAATAAAAAGATTGAAGTGAAAATCTGAAATAGAACACCTAGTTTATTTAACACTGAGCCACCCTGTACTAATTTAAACGATTTTGTTAAATTGAAATTTGAAAGCAATACTTACTTAGAAAGCAAAATATATAAACAAATATATTAATTATTCTACAAATCTAAGCTACAAATTTTAACTTTTAAGGTATTTGAATGAGTAAAATTCGATTAGGCAAAATGTTATACCAAAATTTAAAGAAATTGACATAACTATTTTCAGATGACTTTTCTATGTAAAATGAGCTTTATATAATTAATTTAGGCAATTTTCTATTGGAGTACAGTGCTGGATTAATCATTACACAATTACAAATCTTAATCCCATCACTGACTAAATATTTAAAGATTCCAAAACTACAGTTTACAGCCTTAAAATTAGTTCAGATAATTGATAAGTGCTAATTAAATAAATTATTCCAGAAAAAGCTTGCCAGATGCATACAAAACAACAGTATCAGCTCATAAGAATGTTATTTAATGTAATTTATTTGTGTCTTAAGCATAATTTTTTTAATATATCCTACTACCTACTATACCCTATACTAAGTATATTATTATAAAACTAAGGGTGTTTCATTTAAAAGACAATTTGTAAATAAACAAGGTACACAAACAAACAAAAGATAATACAAAACATTATACAAATAATATAATGTTTTGTATATTATTTGTATAATGTTTTGTATTATCTTTTGTTTGTTTGTTTGTTTGTGTACCTTGTTTGTTTATATACTTTGTTTGTTTACTTTACCTTTGTCTACAAATTGTAAAATTTTTTGACAATAAAGGCATTTATTATTATTATTATTAAATAGCAGAGAAAGACATATTATATTTAGTTACCAACATATAAAGTGTTTTAGTATAATTTGTTTTAATCTTCTGTTATATAAAATATTTTCAATTAAAAAAAATAGGACTTTATAAATTTGTGAAAGCTTTAAAGATGTACAGGAAAAATCTAAAAAAACAATAGAATTAAAATTTAAATAACGTTTCATTTAAATACTACCAATATAAACCAAAAATATATTAAAAACACCCTGTGTATATCTACGAACTGGCTTTAAAATATGGTCTACTGTAACCCGTATGTTTTATAAAAAAAAATCAGTGAAAATCTCAAACTGAAGGCCTAACATGATTATTTTTGGAACATTTGGGCCACTCAGTAATATAAATTATTCTTTTTTACCTACTAAAAAAAAAGATTCTTAATTAGCTGATTAATTATTAGACACGACAAAAAATATTTATATAATATATTATATATTTTTTTATATTTATATTTAAAATAAAAAAAAAGAAATGACTGTAAACGTAGTGCTCGGAACCTCTAAAACGCTTACAAAATATAGATGTATACAAAACATTTTTATAACAAAAATACAGCAATAGATCACAATAATATATAGAAAACAGATAATAACATTTGTACAGAAATAGTACAATATTATCGAATAAAAATGGCGTCGGCGATGGCTATGAAATGAAGATCGCTGTCATTTTATATATAAAATTATATGGGAAATGTAATTGATGTTCATTTCCAAGCCAACTGGACGCCGTTTTTTTCGATCATACGGTATATTGTTTTATTAGGAGTAAAAATGATACTTTTTGCGGCGAGACTGTACGTTCGACAGTACAGGCGAGACACTAACTGTCATTTTTACTCCGAATAGAGCATGTTCTTTTTTCAAACGCCACAAATAACGTTTTAAACAATTTCACACGTTGCAAAAAATATAAAAATATTTAAAAGTAATATATGTTGTAAGTAATTATATATCGAGAAACTATGGTTACGCTTGTTAAATTTGACACTTAATGTCAGTTTAATAATATTTTTTGCACTTTTGTGTTTAAGCGTAAAAATTATTTTTTTATATTATGTCAATCTTTGTTGTCATCATATCGCAAAAATTAATAATTTTGTGACGTTTGAAAAAAAAAATATTGTGTTGAAATACTTTAATGATATCTCTTTGGTAATAATAGGGATCTTCAAATTTATTTTGCTTAATAAATGTTATAAAGTAATATTTATTTTCAACAAAAAAATATTTAGAAATATTTCCTATTACAGATAGCAAAGGTAAGCTATAGATCACTATTATTAACAAAATATTAAAAACAATATTTATAAAATTCTAATACACCAAATAACATACAAAATTGGTATTAAAATATATCTTTTTGTGACATTTAAGTGGAATGAAATCTATGTCAAAAGATTTTAAATGTTGAAGGACCAACTGAAAAAAGATATGCCACATATAAAACTAGAATTATTATTTTTGTGTAAAAATGCCTTTTATCTTAAAATTATATACTTAACAAATATGTATATACAAATGTTAATTTTTATATTATGGCTTATGATATTTCAACTGATCTTACAATAAATATATTACATACCCTAGCAGACCATTTTCATATGTAAAATTCATAAATTTTAGGAGATAAAGTTTTTTTCATATATTATAAAAATAATATAGCAATTAAACAGATAAGATGTAATTAATTATCTTAAACGCAAGTGTAACGATTTTATTAACGCATAGGAAACAGTTTGTATTTTTCAGAGACGATGGGTCGTAGAGGTCTAATAGATATGTTAAATAAATATGACAAGATAGAGACATTTTAAATACTAAAATTGAGAGAAAAAATTACTACTGGAAATAAGATTTTTTTTAAATAATAAGAACATTACCACAATACATAAGAATCGATTAGGCAACCAGTAATACTAAAGATTAAAATTCATGTATGTATTAATTAATTTATGCAATTTTGATTGGATTACAGTGGTATACTAATATTCAATTAATATAACTATAACATTGCATTTAAAAAAAATACAACTTTAGTATAAATATACTTGAATTTTAAAATGTGTGCTCACAATATATTTGTTAAAAAAATTTAAATGAACATATTAAAAAGAAAAATATTTTTATAAGGAATGTATTTTTTATGAAAATGTTAATAAAAAAAAGCTTTTGTTCTTGTAAAGACGTTCTGAGGACATACTGTATATAACAAGAATTCTGCACATAAAAAAGAAAACAATGCATGAAGTACCTTGCTCTCTGTGTTAAAGAAACAAACTTTATCACTAAAATTTAAGTACAAAATAGATATAAACATAAATGTTTTAAAATCATATAAATTGATTAAAAACATCTGTGTTAGGGTACCAAAAATAATCCTCAAAAGCAAAAAAAAAACTGTGTGAACACAAGTATCCAAAATTGATTTAGTAAAAAAATTATTTAAAAAAAATAAACACTAACAAATCATTTCTACTGGCTTGACATTGGTGTTCAATAATCATCACATTTAATTTTTATGAAAAAATATTAAATTGACCATTAACTATTAAATTATCATCCGGTTGAAGATATAGTTAGTTAAGTTCTATAAAATTTAGTTTTGCGTTAATACAATAAATGAAATATTAAAAAACATAAACTTTAAAACCAAAATAATACTTGTGTTCATAGGGCTATAGTGACGCAGCTGCGCAAGTATAAAAATTACAATTTTGATAATCTGGAATAAACTTAGAGAAGCTTAGAAAAATATAAATAATACAAGAAATAAATAAATTGGAAATGACACAAGCCTATAAAGATTGTTTTTAATCCTTTTAAAAAATACCTTTGACGAAATCCAGAATACAATAGTTTTATTTAATAACAATTTAATGATTGAACTAATGGAAGTAAATATAAGATAGGTCAGAGTGAAAAAAAGCTTGAGGTGAAAAATTATAACAGATTAGTATTATGTTGCTCAACGTATCCTCCATAAAGATTATTGCATTGATTTGATTGATTTAAAATTAATCAAACATCCCTCAAACTAGAGGCAACACAAAGCATAAATATAAAGACAATATCAACAGAGATAATGGTCCTATTCATAAAATAAAGTGTATTGCTCTTAGCTAGTGTTTTATATTGCAAAAGCTTAAGAAAAAAAAAGGTTTCTATCCAGATTATCAAAATTTTACAAAAAATTAACATTAAAATGACGCCTGATATAAATATATAGTAAGAGGATAAAAACCAATAAACAAATTTATTGAAACAATAACACTATTAATGAAGCTAACGAACCTTGATGAGGCACTAAGGAGTATTGAGTCTGCTTTATGTTGAGTGAAAGAGGAAAGTGAGGAGTAGGAGCAACTGTTGATATCCATTGTTAAGAAAATGCAGAGATATCTAAAAATAATATTAAAAAAAGGAATAAAACAATCTATGTGAAAATTAAAATAAATATATAATTTTATTAATGCAATAAGTATGTTTTTTAAATTAATAATTTGTATATACCCTATGAGAAAAAAAACGCATTATAGGTAGACCACAGTATATCATTTATAAAAAATTGGTATAAAAATTTATAAAAAATTAAAGAATTAAATGTTAAAAAATTTCAAAGTTCATATTTTTTTAAATTAAGGTTTTCACCTTTGAATAATAATGGATATGTTTGAAGCCTTTTTCCTTTTTTTCATTTAAATATTATTTTTGACAAGTTTTTATATCAATTTTTAATAAATTATATATAGGAATAGACGTTGACCTCAGAGACCCGTGCAGCTTGAATATTATGAAAACTTATCATAATTTTCAAGCTTGTCGATGAAATTTAGTAGCGATGGGAACTATCGAATGAATTAGACTATCGAATGGTTAATGAATGAATGATTTCAACTATCGAATGGTTTTATTCGAATAAAATCATTCATTCATTTGTATACTAAAGCATATGTGACAACCTCGCCGTGCGACTAAATGGTTATCGTTGAGCCACGACTATCGAATGCTTTTGATAAATGAAATTTGTATTCGTTTGATTTTTGTATGCGTCAGTGCATTATTAGTTCTTCCAAATTTTTATAACTTTGCCGTATAAATACTGTGCTATTTTTGCGTTTATTAAAATAGTTAAAATACTAAAATAGTAGTTATTTTTTAATTTTATTTATTGACGATTGTGTGCATGTGCAGGTGGTCAAAAGTTTTCCGAAAATTTGTGTGGTTTTCCGTAGTCCGATCTTTCAATTATTTAATTTTATATGGTATATGGCTATTTTTTAATGGGAAATTTTGAGAGGTAGCAATTTTTAAGAGAGATGAGATGAACTTACAATTAATTTTAAAAATACATATTTGTATTTTAGATGTTTTAATAATATTAATTAGTTGAACTTAATAATCATATTTAAGTAATGTAGTTAAGTAAATGGTTATCGAACTCAAACTATGGGGTGAGAAAATTAAAATGAAAGTTTTACACGTCCCAATTTAAAAAAAAAGTTAACGATGTTTGTATTTTGTTTATGCTATTTCTCTTACATGTAGTTTTTTGCGAAGAAATATTTCATTTATTTTTTAAAGTAAATGCCAGTAAAAGTAAATATAATTTTTAAATAGTAATATAAAGCACCTAATATAAATAATTTTGATTTGTAATTTTTTATTTATATTTTCCTTCCATTACACTGCATGCTTAGAAAATTAATAAATGTTTATATTTCATGATTTTAAAATTTGTTGTTAATATAACAAATTAGTTCTGTAATTATTATTATTTAATAAACCAACGTTGCCACACACAAAAAATTTAGAGACTATATTATTTCTAAATAGGATCTAATATAAATAATTTTGACATCTAATTTGTTGTTTATATTTTGCTACTACTTAAAAAAATATTTATATTAAATCATTTTAAATTTTGTTGTTAATAGGTATAACAAATTATTATTGTTATTATTATTTTTAAACCAGTCTTTGCGTAAAAACATTAAAAATAATTTTCCTACATCCAAAATAACAAGTATTATTGCAGTGTAACAACAGAATATTAATAAAAAAAATGCAGAATATATAGACATACTAACCCTAACTAACTAAAGCCAATCAATAATATTCTTTGCTAATATCAACTAATACCAAAATATGGCAACAGCGCCCTTCATAATGTATTTTCTGTATAAATACTAGCACCTCAATAAAAAAAATAATGTGTCCTTATCTATATCTGACTCCGCAAAAAATCAAAGATGCCGGCTTCTTTCATAGCATTGCCACCGACCGCTGTCGGGTTTCTCGGAAAGAAACCTACGTCGCCGGGCGACAACTAAAATTCAATTAATATTTTATTATAATGGATCCTGACGAATAAATGAATTTCATAAATGAATGAATTTTATAAATGAATGGTTTTTGCTGCCGAATTACTAGAATACAATATTTCAAGGCAGTTGACGGATCTATTCGATAATTTTTATTCGAATAGTTTTCAACGAATGTTTTCTTACTATCGAATTATTCGAATGAATTGCAACTATCGAATGTTTCGATAGTATTCATTCGATAGTTCCCACTACTAAAATTTAGTAAGAAAAAAGAGATAAATAACTTACCATTGATAAAGGACTGTGACCACTTTTCAACAGCTATTAAGTACGGTCTGAGTCTTTTCCTGCAAGTTTCATTCCATTTAAAGCTTTTTGATGTCCACCATAATATTTGCAGATAGTACGGCTTGTCGATTTTTAACAGCAATTGTCCCAGCGTATACCTAAAATTACAAAAAAATATTAAGTAAATTTTTACTCTACTAATTTTGAAAGATTTTTGAAAACAAGATTAATAAAAAACAAAACAAAAAAGATTAATTAAAATTATATTTATTAAAATATATATTTATTGCGTTTATTCTAGTGGAAACTTTAATATATCGTCAAGGTGTGTGTGACGAGTTCTGTAATTTCAAACCAAACAGTTTTGAATAGCGAATGTTGACAATTTAGCGAAGGATTTTTTTAAATAGTTAATTGTGTGTTGTAATGAGTATAAATGGTGAGAAAATAAATCCGTTAAGTATTTTATCGTGACTTTAAATTAGCGGACCCACGGAATCCGTAACAATATGCAACCAGTAGTACAGTATCCATTTTATTTTGTCCTGCCTATTTTTAATAGTTGTTGGTTGTTCTAATATTGGAACAAAAGCGCTCGAATATTAGCTGTCCAAGCTGTCCAATAAAATTTTATAAGATAGATAAATAACTTACCACTGATAAAGAACTGGATACGCTCTGACAGTTATTAACAGCAGTTCAAAATGGTTTTCTTCGATTTCTTCTGCACAAGTTTCATTTCATTTAAATCTCTTTTATGACCACCATAAATATTAGTTGCAGCTGGTAGAACTTATTTGTTTCTAATAGCAATTGTCCTTTCGTGTACCTAAATAAAAAAAATATGTATTAGGTAATTTTTATTATAGCAATTTTTGAAGCTATCAGAAAACAAACAATAACATAAATTATCTTAATACTTGGAACTATCTAAAATAACAAATAAATATTACACATTTTGTTAATATTAATTTGAATAAGTTATAAAGAGTTATATAAAATTAAAAGAAGACTTTTCTTGATAACTTCAGTAATAATATAAAAATTGTAAATTTCCTTGATATGAAAGTAATACGTTATTATAACGAGTTTTAATGACGAAAAAATTAAATATCTAATTTGCTAGATATATTTAAAAAATATTTAGCAATAACTTGTAAACTATTACATTTATTTTGGCGATAACTTTATTAATTAGAAAAAAAAGGATATGCAACCAGTAATACACTCTTAGCATTGTTCAATTAACTTTTTTATTTTTTGAGCTAGAAAATTCATTAAAAAAAATTATAGGGTTCCCTGTCAAGTTTTAATACATTACCAATGTTATGTTATTACCCTGTAAATTTAAAAAATTGATAAAAATAATATACAAAAAAAATCATTACAACTTGAGTTAAAACTTTCTAATTTCTTTTTTTTCCCATGAAAATTCTATCTTCCAAAATAAAATGCTAACACTGTTCAAACTGCAAAGTATAAATATTCTACAAAATTTAATAATTTTAGAGCGTTTTCAAGCTTATCAATGCCAATTCATAAAAGTATATAGAGGGTATTTCACGTAACTGGCTCATTAAAAGCGTTTTAAAATGAAATTTAGTCTAAATTAAACTAGTTATAGACTTAGAAAAATATATACCCTGAAAATTTTTGAATGAACCAGTTGTATGAAAATCTTTGTATATAAAATGATCAAAATAACTTACCATTAATAAAAGGCAACAGATGTCCAGTCCAACCCTGGTTCTATTAACTTTACAACCTGACATTTTTCTGTATCCAATCAAAAATTTTCCTTCAAAGCTACAACTTGTTCGTCGAGTTGTGACTGCAGCTGTCAAAATGTCCTCTACCATCAATTTGTTCAGCTCACTAAAAGTACAAAAAAAATTAAAAGATAAAATAAATTAAACAAAAAAAGTAAATTTTTATGACGTCAGTTTGTTCATACTAAATTTATCATAATTTTCAACCTTGTCAAAGAAATTTATAAAAAAAATAAAATAAATAAATCAGACGTCTAAATGCAAAACCCGACAAGTGACACATTTTGAAAAATTGTGATCTATACACCATTTAATTCGTTATCCCAAGAGAAACTCTGAATTACATTTTTATGCAAGATATTTTCAAGAAATAATACACCAGATAAATCCAGTCCTGTAGATTTATTATTCTTTCTACTATTCATAATATTTTAAATAATTTTTAGTGTATTCTGTAAAATTGATTTCAATGGACTTGTCAGGTTTTGCATTTAGACGCCTGAAATAACTTACCATAAAGTAAAAGTGTTTTGGTGTATTGTGGTGATTTAAATCACTAAATCACCAATTTTGTAAAAAAAAGATTGAAAAAAATATTAATATATTTTCAATCTCAAACTTATTTTATTTTGAATTTGAAGCCTACAATTTTGTAGTTAAATACAAAAATTGTAGCCTTAAAAATAATAAAAAAAGAAAAATTACTTACCATTCTCATAGCGCAATGGTAATGAAGGCCAATCAATCAAGTACAATTGATTGTATCTTGAAATTGTCATTTGTGGGCAAGATTTTCACTATCATTCCATTCAAAAAATTCCTTGGCATTCATCAAACTTATCTACAGTTCTAACTCATTTGCAGATTTGTAACAGCAACTGTTAACGCCCAGTACATCACTCGAACAGATATCTAAAAATAAAAAAATAAACAAATATTAATAAGTATATTAATTTGTATCAATGTAGAAAATTAAAATAAATAAGAAAACATTGTAATATCAACATAGATAGGCAAAATACAAAATTAAGTTGATTTGAATAAAAAAATTCTCCTAATAAATTTAAAATTAAATATTGCACCTAAAGTTATTGAAATATACACATTATGTGTAAAATATGTCATAACTTCCAAGCTTTCCAAAAACTTTAATAGGAAAGAAAATACTGTGAAAAAAACTTACCATTTTTGAGAGATATCTGCGTTGTTGAAGTCAATTTAATGTCCTGTATCTACTGTAGAATAAATTGGTCATTTGTGAGCCTTTTCCTTTTCCCAGTTTAAACTATGTCAAAACTTCTTTGGTGTTTCTAATAATTCATCCAAGTTGTTATAACAGCGGCCATCCTACATTTCCACCAATAGATAAGCTTGTATAATACATAAATAAATGAAACTTGATATCCAAGATACCAATAACATCTATAAAAAAATAAAAGTTGTGATAAGTATTTATTTTTTGTAACTAGATGAAAAAAAATTACCTTAATACAGTTGCTCCAAATTTCATTCAAAAAACTTCCGTTACAGCGAACAAAATCCTCCTCCTTTCCTCAAACATCTTCTATCTCATTTCCTTCTATTTCAAAGCAATCTTCTTCCCATCTTCTCTGTCCTCTTCTATTTTCCAAGTCTCACCAATTCTTATTCAACTACTTATATAACTAACTTATACAAATTTCAGGCGTCTTACAAACATTTTTAAAAGGGGGGAATAGGATAATAATGCTACAACAAACACCTACGCCAGCGCACCTACCTAAAACAAAGCAAAACACTTTTTTTAGCCAAAGAAAGTGATAAATATAAAGTTATATAAATTTACCTGATGGCATCTAGAAGATGGCGCTAATCCTGCTGTTGTCCCCCAAAAAAATTCATTCCAAAGCAGTATAGTACTAAAAAGATTTATGCAGGAACAAACAGAATTTAATTTTAGTAACAAAAATAAATTACTAATACTTTAATTCTCATTATAATGTAAAATTACATTATTTACTAATTTACGTTTAATTAAAAATCACTAAAAAAAATTAAATAATATCAATATTAAAACAAGACGAAAAATAGTTATTTCCAACTGTAATAGAAAAACAATATGCTACCTAATTTTGTCTCTTTGGAGTTATTTTTTATTACCCATTTATTATTGCTAAAAAAACTTTATATTAAAGCCTTGTATAGAGTAAGAAAAAAAGTAAAAATGAATGTAAAAATTGCAAATTAAAAATGAGTACTTAATGCAACATTCTGTAAATGTAGGGAACCTAAAGTTACTGCTTTGGAACCACGACGCGAACCGACTTTTGAAGTTCTCCAAGCCATACTGTATCACCTGTAAGAGAAAAAAAATAATATTAGAATATTTCTAGCAAATACATATGCTAGAAGAAACAAAAAAACAAGCTATAGACAACAAAAAAAACCAATGTAAAAATATAAAAACTCACCATTACATCTTGCTTAAGTTCATTTTCAGTCCCATCATAATAATTAATAATTATACGGCGAAAAAAACAGTGGCGTCTCACTGCTATGGGGCACATCAAATATCCCCAACTCCATGGACTTCGGTCGATCCTGTAGAGTTGACAATAAACACGTTTTCCAGGTATGCGACGGTGCCTGGAACAATCCGAATTTTTTTGGGACTGATCATATGCAGCATGTAGATAGAATTTCTGACTTCTTCAATCTTGTTTTTTAAAATCGCGCTGCGAACCCGGATTGTCCTAAAAAAATGAAAATAAATTAGTTATATAAGTAACTATACAAGTTAAATTAGAATTTAAACTTATATCTACTATAAGTTTTAAAAAAGTTGATCTAATTATTATACAAGTTATTCTACTTTAAATTGAAGCTCATGTATGTTGTAACAAAAAAACTAAAATATACAACACTTATATAAAAAGTATTTTGATTGCTACATGGTGCGATAAAAAAGTTATTTGGTAGGGAGTACAGTAAAAGTTTACAATTTAATCTAATATAAAAAAATTAGACTTACTTTTAACAGGTTTAAGTAAGGCCTGGTTATGCTCGCCTCCTCCCGACATTTTCTGCCTTCAAAATTCGACGCGGGGCAGACCAAGAGAAAAAACAAAAAATGTTTCCACGACCCGCCTGTGAGTGTGTGCTGGTTGCCTTCCTTATGCAGATTCGACCCATTGGTCGACGATTAAGCCTCACCAGTCAGTTCCCATCCCAATTAAGCCGCCTCGTCTGGGGTCACCCTCGTCACCCGTCGGACGGAATCCACCGGGACCCCTACAGGCGGACCCCCTCATCATCTTCAATGTGTCCGATATCCCGCCCCTGCCTCTTCGAGGGTCACGGAATACGTGCACGAAGAAGTCTCGGAGCTTGGGTGCCAGGTCGTATCCGGCCGAAGCCTCTAGCGTTAGAACACCTAGCTCGTAAACCAGAGGGTGGTGACTCCCTTGGGTACCTCTGCATGCTACACAGGTCATCGATGCCCGAACATCAGAGTTAGGGGGTGACCCAAGAAGTCTCCTCTCTTGGGGAAGGCCGCGCCGCGCTCTGGAGTCATCTTAAGCCGGGGATCCACACCGACAAAAACACTGTTAACCAGCCGCATCAGCTAACGAAATTCACTAATGTTGAATTAGGAAATTTTATTAACCAACACAGAGAGCTAGCAATGCTCGTGTGAGTGGGGAAGCAGTGTGTGGTGTTGTAGTATTAATATAACGCGCCTAAAAAAAGAACAAAATATTGGAATACCTATAAAAATATCGAACACCTATAAAAATATTTCGACAATATATAAATAGGTATATTTTAAAGAGATGCTCCATTTATACCTCAACAATATCTTATAAGATTTTTCCTGAGGAAAGATGTTATATGACATAGAAAAAAGGGATATAAATTTGATGAATATGGTCAAAATCCAAAGAATTTTTCCATGATGTAACACATAAAAAAATAAAAATACACAAGGAGTTTTTAGAGTTGTAACATATTATTTAGAGCTAAAAGTTAAACCTACAGTGTTTCAAATAAATAAAAAATATTAAAGTTATATTTTTTTAACAATGAGACATCCTATATATTTTATTACATTTTTAGTTTCTACTAGGAAGACACAAAAAACATTCGATCAAAATTTACCTCAAAATCATACTAACTGTTTTCGAAATATTTAAATTTTTATAGAAATTCAGTAACAATTGATTTATTTCTTCAATGCAAATTTACAACTAATACTGAATTAGCAAAAATCATTTGTCAACATTAATACTATTTTTTAACATGTACCTAATATTACATAACGCGCGCTTTAAAAGAGAAATAGGTAAAATACCAATATCAGAAATCATTACAAAAATGCTAAAAGATAAATATGTAGGATTCTTACATAAAAAAAATACGGAATAAAATTCCTAATGAACCTACCTATTTAAAACTTAATACAAAATACAAAAAACCTACTCATTCAAAATATTATTAAAATGCGCATATTATATTTTTTTAAAATAAAGAAAACTCCAAGTATGCCCTATAAAAAGAAATTTAAATTAAAAATAGCAATTTAGAAAAAATCAAGACATCGAATCCCAACAGGCGGCCATTTTATTTAAACATTCCTTGACGGAAAAAATTAAACAAAAAATCAAAGATACATTACGTATATAATTTACCAAACCAAAAATGTAGTACTATTTTACCCTTATGTAACACGCAGTATAGAAAGTACCGAAAATACATAGTTTTACATACTTATTTATTAATCTAGGTATATTATTTAAACAATATTCTTAAAAATTAGTAACTTAATGGGGAACATTGAGAAGGCAGCCATGATGGATATTGCGAAATCCAAAAATTTTAAACTAAAATATCTCAAAAAATACATAAAATTACGGGTACTCACTTTTTCAGGAGGCTAAGCAGGGCACTAGTAACAGATTACGCATAAATTGTGTACACTAAACGCACTTTTTCGTCAGAAAATTAAAAAAATCGATGCAACCGACGGGAGGACGTGCGGATCCTTCGATTGCAAACGACAAAAGGAGGACCGGCGTTGCCAGATTGAAGTCATTCGTAAGACTTAAGCTGCTCAAAAAATTAATTTATTTATTACTAATAAAATTGTTTATAGGAAAATTCTTGTAAACTAAGCTTAATTTTGTTCTCAAAGTTATTATTTACACAATACGTTCAACTGAAATCGTTTTTTTTTACGTAAGGTAAAATATTTATTGTCATAAATAAGAAACAAATAAGTAATTATAAAGACACAAAAATCATGAAATAAACCTAAAATGAAGCTGTTTAAATACATTTTTAATGCTATAAATACATCGAAACCAACAATAAAGACTATAATGTTAATACGTAATTACAAGAAGAAATAAAAGAAATTTCTACAAAACAACATTACTGGTACTTATTTTATTAAATACCGTATGATCGAGAAAAAACGGCGTCAGCGTTGTATATGAAATGAAGATCCCTGTCATTTTATATGTAGATTTATATGGGAAATGTCATCGATCGTCATTTCCAAGCCAACTGGACGCCGTTTTTTTTTTCGATCATCCGGTATAATTTCACAAAAATCACACAGAAAAAAAAAATTCGACATTTTTTAACAATCCGGCAACATCGAACGAGAATAAAATTCAAAACCTCCACGCGAGCGAAACTGACCAATCACGATCGAGTATTTTTTGCTCTTGGATGCCTCGATTTTAACTTTTTTTAATAAACATTTGTGATAAACATCAGCTATCATTGGCTATCATGCTCATAAAATATAAAATAATTAAGTAGAAATCATGTTATCAAAGAAAGAAGCAGGTTACGAATTTTATATAAGTAATAAAAGAGTAATATTAAAAATTAGTTATAAACAATATTATATAGATCGTACATTTTAATTTAACCATCAGATTTGTTAGTAAACTGAAAATTAACTTAAAAAATTGATTAACATAAAAAAAGAATATTTTTTAAGGTGAGAATCTAATTTAGTATAAAATTTAATTCATAGATGTCTCTCATTCAAAACTTTTTGGGAACTAAAAATTACAGATTACTTTAAGTTTCTAAGAAAATTATTAGAAGTTTAGTTATTTACCGATAGATATCACCAGCAACGTTTTTATTTTATAGAAACCTATAAATAAATAGTTTAAATGTTTAATATATGATGGCGCCACAAACGCATAGAAAAGAAACCTGTACCTACTTACTTTTAAAACTTTCTACATGGTAGCGCTATATTCGTTTCAGGAATAGTTCCAAAAATTCCCACTAAAGAAGTATGGCGCTGTAATCAATTAAAAAGCGCCTATGAAAGCGCCAAAGGAAAAATTTGAACAGACCGGAGGCTTTTATAAGTAAATGTAAGATTTTCTTGTTATTTTTTCACTGTATATCAAGAAATATCAAACTTACCTATTGTAGAAGCTGATTAACACTTCTTGTTATAGATATATCGTTAGTAAGTTGAGCCTAAAGAATAAATAAATCAGTATAAGTAAAATAAATCGGAAAACAGTAAATATATTATCAGAATATTACCTCACTTCTCACTTCTTATAACATACATTGTTGTAAATTATAAAATATAAACTTCTCAACAACAAACAGTTAACCATAAACAGTCTGCATTACACAAAACACAAATTTATTATTTTTTGAAGAGTGATGATAATTTTTAGATTGATTTGAAGTTTTTCCTTCTTAAAGCTGTAACATTGCAAATAAATAAAGCTTATATCACATTTTTAGAACGGGAATTTTAAGTATAACAAATGTACTAAGCAAAAAAATTAGTAAGATCCCAGAGGGATCAGACAACTTATTAGGGATCAGACAACTTATTTTCACAAGGATGAAACATTTCAAAAAAGATTGTGAAAATAAGTTATGTCTGATCACTCTAGGATCTTGGACTATTACAGCATAAGCTTAATTTTCATGCATCCGTTATACGATGGTACGTTGGTCCGACGGTGCTCTGATTGGTCATAGCGTTTTCATGCCATTTTCATCCGTAAATATTTTACTTCAGCCCGTCAACGGACCCGTTCATACGATAACGGACGTTTTGACACTTTTTTGACAAATTTAATCTAATCTTAATAAAAATATAAGTAAAATAGCAAAATCGTTATGGAAATGAAAATATAAAATAACACCAACGTATATCCGATAAACGGAGGCAATGAAAATGCAATAAATTTAAAAACTGCGTTATTTTCTAACCAATCAAAGTCTTTAAATTCTACCAATAAAATTAATATCGTATCAACGTATCGTCGGACAACGGATGCATGAAAATCAATCTTTATTCAATGTTATGACATGCCTACGAGGAAGGAAAGAAAATACAGTTGTTTAGATTTTTATGGCAAAAACCATAATGGATAATTTAGTTTTTATTCAATCTTAACATAGTAGGAAGACCAAATAAACTAAAAAACAACTAACATTCTTATAAATAATTTATTGTATATTCACAATGACATAAAGTAATCTTGAAATAAATTCATAAAATAAATGTTCAACAGTAAAAATCATTTCTAAAGTCTGACTATTTTAAAATACACCCGACATATCGTCAGAGACGAAACAAAAATTTCATCTACAGCTCTCTAAAGTTTGGGGAATAATTCAATATTAGATTAAATTAATAAACTTAACAAAAAATAAGTTATTCAGTACATGGTTATTTCTTAAGACTTTTTTAGTCAAGAAAATTAATAGTTTTGTTAATTTGAAGGTTTATTTGGCAAACATTTTTTTAGAATCCCACATATTTAATAATGTATCTTTTTTGATAATAAAGTATTATTGTGAGCTCTATTTATCATTGCCTAGAATATTAAATGCAAGCCATTTTAACCATTCATATATCGATATATTACTTCTTTTTGCCGTCCCTAATCAAGTTTCAGAGTGCATCCACACTATCCTAGAAACGGTGTAACGGCGTAACGACCTTGAATCGATTTCCAGCAATTCTATTGGCTGAAAAATTCATCTGTCAGAAATTTTATCTGTCAAATTCATCTGTCAAAAATTTCAGCCAATAGAATTACTGGAAATCTATTCAAGGTCGTTACGCCGTTACGCCGATACGCCTTTTCTAGGATAGTGTAGATGCACCCTCAGATTTTTTAAAACTAGGAACGTCCAAGATTATCGATATGTTCACACTTGTCTATATATCGATATAAAAGTATTATCATCTGTTCTACTCTCCCACAATTAATTTTGCTTCTGACAAGCAGTGGCGTACCCTACGATATGCCTACGGGGAAGGGAAGAATAAATGATCTCTTCGCAGCGAATCCAAAAAGGTTGTATTGGAAGTCTTTATCTTTAGTTCCCTAACAATTCCACAGTTGAAAAAAAATAGAATCGGGATTCTAGACTACTTCAGATACTATAAAATTATGTAAATAGAAAACAGCTAGTGTGTCGCTGACGATATGCATCTTATAGCCCGTCCAACGAATAAATATTGACAGTGACAGTCAATTCTTCTTCTCCCGTTAGATAGACTATATTTTACTTGTATGGCAAGTCAATCGTCCAAATAGGTGAACCATTTCTGAAGCAAGGAAATGTATAACTTAAGATAAAATGCAGGTCGCCTCAGAAATAGTATAGCCGAGCACCATATAAACACAGAACACCTTAACTTGCAGAAGCGACTAAAAGCATCGTCGGCCTTTTCGAAGTACGTCACTGTATAAAAAGGACTAAGAAAGCTGTCTAATACTATATTTTTATATTCATGTATTAGAGACGGAAGCAACGTCATCAAAGTACCTTGTTGTGTCAGTTTTGTTTGATTTTTCACTTGACAACATGATTTTAATTTTTTTGCGCTTATCTGACTTTATTTAGTGACATTTCTTGTTTATTTGATAAAGGTTTAATTAGCGATGGGAACTATCGAATGGTTACTGAATGAATGATTTCAACTATCAAATGGTTTTATTCGAATAAAATCATTCATTCATTTGTATACTGAAGCATATGCGACAACCTCGCCGTGCGACTAAATGGTTATCGTAGAGCCACGACTATCGAATGCTTTTGATAAATGAAATTTAGTATTCGTTTGATTTTTGTGTGCGTCAGTGCATTATTAGTTCTTCCAAATTTTTATAACTATAACGCCTTGTAAATACTGTGCTATTTTTGCGTTTATTAAAATATTTAAAGTACTAAAATAGTAGTTTTTTTAAAATTGACGATTGTGTGCGTGTGCAGATGGTCAAAATTTTTCCGAAAATTTGTGTGATTTTCCGTAGCCCGATCTTTCAATTATTTAATTTTATATGGTATATGGTCTATTTTTTTAATGGGAAATTTTAAGAAGTAGGAATTTTTAAGAGAGATCAGATGAACTTACAATTAATTTTAAAAATACATATATATTTGTATTTTAGATGTTTTAATAACATGAATTAGTTGAACTTAATAATCATATTTAAGTAATGTGGTTAAGTAAATGGTTATCGAACTCAAATTTTGGGTTGAGAAAATTAAATTGAAAGTTTTACACGTGCCAATTTAAAAAAAAAGTTAATGATGTTTGTATTTTGTTTATGTTAATTCTCTTACATGTAGTTTTTTGCGAAGATATATTTCATTTATTTTTGAAACTAAATGCCAGTAAAGGTAAATATTATTTTTAAATAGTAATATAAAGTAATATATATAATTTTGATTTCTTAATAATTTCTTTCTTGTTAATAAGTATAACAAATTATTACTGTTATTAATTAAACCAGTCTTTGCTTAAAAACATTAAAAATCATTTTCCTACATCCAAAATAACAAGTATTATTGCAGTGTAACAACAGAATATTAATAAAAAAAATGCAAAATATATAGACATACTATCCCTAACTAGTTAAAGCCAAACAATAATATTCTTTGCTAACTAATACTAATACCAATATATGGCAACAGGGCTTCATAATGTATTTTCTGTGTAAATACTAGCACCTAAATAAAAAAAATAATGTGTCCTTATTTTTATCCGACTCCCCAAAAAATCAAAGATGCCGGCTTCTTTCATAGCATTGCCACCGACCGCTGTCGGGTTTCTCGGAAAGAAACCTACGTCGCCGGGCGACAACTAAAATCCAGTTAATATTTTATTATAATCGATCCTGACGAATAAATGAATTTTATAAATGAATGAATGGTTTTTGCTGCCGAATTACTAGAATACAATATTTCAAGGCAGATGACGCATCTATTCGATAATTTTTATTCGAATAGTTTTCAACGAATGTTTTCTTACTAGCTATCGAATTATTCGAATGATTTGCAACTATCGAATGTTTCGATAGTATTCATTCGATAGTTCCCACTACTAGGTTTAATGCAAAGTGTATAAATCTGGAAAAACATTGTTTCAAAACGAACTTTGTATTGAAACATTGTTCCAATAACATAAAAGCACAATTCGCTTATTGAAAACTTACAAAAATTAAAATTTATCAAGAGCTGTCAAAAATATAATAACAAAGAAACAAAAAAATCTTCCGTTTCTAATAAATTGTGATCGACAAAAAAACGGCGTTCTATATGTAAAATGGCGTGAAAAGGATGCCCCTCTTTTTCGGTCACACGGTATATGAAATTAAAAATATTATTTGATTCCATATGCATATAAAAGAATATGTTACTGACTTCCCATACAGGGTGTCCCAAAAATAAGTGCAAGCATTTTAACTGGTAGTGTAGTTCAACCACAGAAACACGCCTATGAGGTTTTTTTCGCGAAAGAAAATTTTGAAAATTCGAAATTTTTTGGAAATTTTTTTAGTTTTTGGTTAAAAAACATAATTTCTTTGTAATATGGTAACATAGGTATTAGATTAAATTTACAAGAAAGAAAATCCAGAAAAGATCCAGTGGTTCTCAAAATTTTAGCAAAAAATCATTTTTTTTGGAAATTTTTAAAGTAAAATAACTCCCTTATTTTGGACTTATTTGAAAAACGATAAAGAGAAAATACGTTTCTTTTATCGAGATCTACAACCCCTTAAAATACTTGCACTTATTTCTGGGACACCCTGTATATGCAATCAATGCATTTTTGTTCCAGTACGAGGGAGTACGAGCCCTAACAACTAAATGTTCGGACAAACAAAAATTTATTAAAAACCTTTATTTTTATTAACTAAATTATTTACATTTAAGAAATTCATTAAAAATATATTAAAATCTAACATTTCTAATGAGTATTTAAATAGTTTAGTTTCTATAAACATTAAAATAAACTGTAGGCCAATAAATAAACAAAAATATTGCACAATATCGTGGCAACTAAATGATCATGGACATTTTAAAAAACAACTGTTCTAATATGGCGTTACATCGGCATGAACTTTTGCAACCACTGCATGTCTGTTTGGCATTGTTTTTATTAATGATTGACATACGCCAGAGTAAAAATTTTGCCATAATTCACTTAATACCATCGTCAAATGGGCAACGGTTTCTTGAGGATCGTGGTACAATTTTTGTTTTGTTTTATGCCACATGTCTCGTTAACATTAAGGTCCGGACTATGCGAAGGCCATGAGGGGACCTTGATGTTCATGTCCCTAAACCCTTTTTTAGTAGTTTTATCCTGTTGAAATATAAAATTCATATCCTGGTAAAGGTCTCTCGCACTTGGCACAAAACTGTTTTTTAAAATTTCTTGATATTTTGACACATTAGTTGTGCCTTTCTACCACCTCATACCTTCCTAGACCCATTGTGGACATAAACTCTAAAAGCATAATGTCTTTAGGAAATTCCACTGTCCATCTTTCATAAAGATCATGCCTGCGTGCAGATGTAATCCTTGAACTTGCAATTTGCGATTGGCTATGAAATTAGCCATTATCAGCGTGGGATTGGAACTTCTGATGTCACAAACTACAAAAATGACATTAAGGTAAAATATTTAATTATTTCCCAATCCGACGCTAATAATTCCAATCGCAAATGGCAAGTGCACGGATTACATGTGCACATGAGCCACCTTAATATCGATATAATTAACACCGCTAGAGTATATATTTGATAAAGATTGCCTCAAAAGGACAGTGAAATTTCCTAAAGGCATTATGATTTGAAGGAGTATGTCCAAAATAGACCCAGAAAAGTATGAGGTGGTAGAAGGCATAATTGATGCGTCAAAAAATCAAAAAGATCAAAAAAATCTTGTGTCAAGTGGGAAGGGCAAAGGTCCTTGTAACCAATTGTTCTGGTAAAGACCAGGACAATAATTTTATATTTCAACAGGATGGCGGGGCATGCCATAGAGCTAAAACTACTAAAAAATAGTTTAGGGACATGAACATCAAGGTCCCCTCATGGCCTTCGCACAGTCCGGACCCTTATGTTATCGAGACATGGGGCATAAAACAAAACAAAAATTGTGCCACGATCCCCAAGAAACCGTTACCCATTTGACGATGATATTAAGTGAATTATGGCAAAATTTTCTACTCTGGCGTATGCCAATCATTAATAAAAACAATGCCAAACAGGCTTGCAGTGGTTGCGATTCATGCCGATGTAACGCCATATTAGAACAGTTATTTTTTAAAGTGTCCGAACATTTAGTTGTCACGATATTGTGCAATCTTTTTGTTTATTTATTGGTCTACAGTTTATTTTAATGTTTATAGAAACTAAACTATTTAAATACTCATTAGAAATGTTAGATTTTAATATATTTTTAATGTAAATAATTCAGTTAAAGAAAATAAAAAGTTTTAATAAATTTTTGTTTGTCCGAACATTTAGTTGTTAGGACTCTTACTCCATCAGAGATTAACTAACAGGCAGTTCTAAAAAGTTTTCTACAATATACAGGAAAATTTAAAAAAAATCACGATTTTCAACAAATTTTTGCGAAAAAAACTCACAAACGTGTTCTAGGGATTGAAATATACTACGCCTAAAAACATTATTTAAGACTCGCTCTGTATCTGTCCTTCAATATAGTTTATGCGGTACACGTAGTTTATTCTTTTATATGTATATGACTTGATTCCTTATATTTTTTTATTATATTATTTTAAAATTAAGCTTTTCGTAGAAGATCGCCTAATTTTCAATGCGCATAAAAAATAGATCGCTTCTTCGTAGTTAAGTTATTCAGTATCATAAAAATAAATATATTAAAAAACTCTTCAAAAATATCCGATTTCCAACGAGTTTTTCGATTATGTTCCTACATATTTTATATCAGCAACCCTGGCAGGGACTTTGGAACCCTTTGGGATTTTTCTGTTGCCAGTTCCACGTGTCTTGGCACATGGACAGTATGTCCTTCTTCGCCGTCCAATTCAGTTCTCTCTTAGCCACGGAAGCGTCGGCGTAACATTCGGCAATGTCGCCCTCTCTGCGACCCACAATCTCGTATTTTACCTGCTTGCCCGACGCTTTTTCGAAGGCTTTCACCACGTCCAACACTGAATATCCGCAACCTATAAAAAAAATCAAAATAATCAAAAACTGTAATTTAATTGATTCAGTGACATCAAAAAATCACGTAACGTAACTGTTCTGTGAGATATTCTTTTGCTTAATATCGTTAAATGATTAATTTATTACATTAAAATAGACCCATTTTCTGATTCAGATCCTAGAATTTCCGAAATAACTCAAATAGCTAGCCAGATTTTAACTGTCAATTTTGTTTAGATATGAGTTGTGAAGTTATTTACTTATTAGCCTTTTTTTAATTTTGCAGTGTTCACGTATTTTTAAAATAAAATAGTCAAATGAGTCGTAGACTTTTTTTGGGCCCTTATGTATTTCTATTTTTGTATTAGAAGAGCAAAAAAGAATATTTTTATAGAGCTTTTTATTTTTTTTCTTATTTCTATTTTTGAGATACAGACCAACCATTAGTTATTTAAATAGAACATTGTGTATATGTCGCAGGCAATGACTAAAGAATCTAAGGACAAATAACTCCCGAGAGCAAATTGTGCCGATGTCACCAAACAGTGCCGTGGCACATATTTTTCTTAACCTAGCTGTTTGAAGCAATATTTATATTTTTTGATAAATTGTTTTGACTACGCCTGTGGTGTATCATACTAATTAATTACAAAAAAAACGTATTAAAATGTTAACAAAAGGTACAAAACTAGTATCGACGTATAGCACATATCAAGTACATATAGATGTTAATTGAAATTGAAGAATAATTATCGAATTCAATAAGAAAACGCTAAAAAGTTGGAGTGGACTGTTTATTTACCTATGAAACGTAACTCCTGGCTCTTTCTTATCGCTGCTGCTTTTACACTTGAAAGCTGAACAACTAACCAGCATTGTAATAAAGTTTATACAAAGTTTACTACACACAAACTATTAAAAATCGCTAAAATTGTCGCTGGTGACCAAATGATGACTCATTGTTTGCCATCAAAAGAATGGCCTTTAAGGTCACAAATTCTGCTGCAGCCCGTATATGGGCGTTACATGTCCTTATATTCTTTAGTGAATGGTAGCAGGGGTATCGAATAACTCGGCATTTTGCAAATAGACTAGGCATATTATAAACAGCCGGCGTTTTTAACCAAAGAAGGATATTTTACAAAACGCCTATCTGTTTTAAGTCGCCTTGCAAAATGCCTAATGAAGACTAGTCATATTGCACAAAACATTTTACGCGGGATTGGTATAACTAACCTAAATTTGTCCAACGACATTTCTTGAACTTCTCTTTCAAAATTTGGATATAATGCCACAAAAAGTGATAATTCTGTTAAATAGAGTATGGTTAAGGATGATTATTATAAAGATCTAAATTAATTTTATTCGAAAAGAAAGCAGAGTTCCACAAAGAAACAGCCCTGTACACAGAATCGAAATAAAGAGTATAATAATTAAATGAGATATTAATATTAAGGTTTCAATATATTTCGTATTTAAAACTATGTTATTTATAATTAAAATTTATGAAATAGGATTCAAGTTGTTTTTGTCTAAACATAATAAAATTTTGACAAATAATTATTGTTTGTGTATAGAAAAATATGGTGTATTTTTATTAAAGCCTAAATTATTCAATATGGTTCATAGCTGACTAAACTTTGATCATTTTTAGGGTTCCGTGCCCAAAGGGTAAAAACGGGAACCCTATTACTAAGACTTCGCTGTCCGTCCGTCTGTCACAAATGTCTATCTTATGAACCGTTATAGCTAGACAGTTGAAATTTTTATAGATAATGTATCTAATGTTGCCGCTATAAGAACAAATACTAAAAACAGAATTAAATAAATGTTTATAAATAAAAAGTACTTTCACTAAACATTATCTTTTAAGTAAGAATCTTACATAGAATCTTTCAAGTCCTCGGTTGGCCGCGTGGTTAAAGCGTTAGAGCTTTACGCTGCTATGACGTTGAAGGCTGGTTCGAATCCTAGTCAAGGCGACTTTTTTTTAATCGTTTTTTTTAATTTTTACATATTTATTTTTACTTTTTACATATTTATTATTGATGAATACAATTTTTAGTAATGTGTTTCTTCATTTTTTTTTAATTACTTATACGCGCATTCAAAATTTCAGCTAAATCGAAAAAAAGTTTATAATAATATAGTGTCTAATGTTGTATAGATAATGAATGGTACGGAACCCTACGTGCGCGAGTCCGACTCGCACTTGACCAATTTTTTAATCTAAAATGCAGGGGGTTGACAGTGAAATAGGAAAATTGGAAACAGTCATTAGTGGCATTCCTGTCATTCTCCTCACGACAAGTATGGCCGCCTAGACAAGGACAGCATTGTTTTTGTCTAACTATTGTCTAACTTCACAGTTTAGAATTGACAGATTCCAGTTTCAGAGACAACTTCAGATTTGTTCTAGAACAAATTAGAAAATATTCGACGCCATTTTAATTCATTCCGTTTAGTTTCGTTTTGAAAGTTCAATTTAATATTTCCGCTGAAATTTATAAATATAAAGGTAATAAAGTATATAAAATATATAATACATGAAGAATTCTGGAGAAAATGACGTTTCTGCAGTAGTAGGTATGTCCCATGTATATGAAAAATAGGTAGTAAATAAACACTGTTTTTACATTTTTTAGATGCAAGAAAATGGTGTTATAATCTCTTTGATCGGCGATTTTTTTGAAAATGGAAACAATTTACAGCAAGGTAAGATCATTTTTAACTATAGCCAGAGTACGTAGATCACCGAGTAGCGACAGACACCGTCGGCTCTTTTGATGTGGTGGGACCAAATTTTCTTTCTCTCTCTCTTATCACGTGCTTGACAGATAAACAACGTATTTAACTGCTCAACTTATGAAGTGGTCCTATAAACGTGGTATACACTGCTCACCATTTGAAGTGGAATTAAATATTTATAATATTTAGAGATAAATGATATAATAGGAATCTCATTGAAAAAGATTGAAAAGAAACCTTGTGGTTGCTATTTAAAATGCAAAAAAAGTTTTTTGTGCTTTTACCTAATATCGATTTTTATCTTTTTTTGTCAGTTTATTTTTTACCTATTTTATTTTATTATTAAATTCAATATTTTTGAATATATTTAAAAGCGAATTTGAAATTTGATCACCATCATTTTTTTTTCAAATTCGCTATCAAAAATCAAATCTAAATTATAAACAAAATTTACGAATCTTTCTGGCGGTGAAGACAATCCACCAAAAATGCCCTTTAGAGGATCGAATGCCTTAAAATGTGTTAATAATGTGTGTACATCTAGCGATTGACACTCTCTGCTAAATGTTTCGCATATTTCGCATGAGTGAACCTGTAGACATCTTTTCATTAAATACCCACAAACATAATAAAAGGCATTTTGTCTCGGGATATTTTCAGTTCTGTAACTGTGGTCCGTTACAGATACAGCCAAAACTTCCAAGTTTGTTTCTGCTTCTGCCGTTGTCTCCAATTCCTTGAAATCGGATTTAAGATTCACTAGTAAGTGGTCGAGGTCACAAACATTTGTTATTGGCATGTACTTGCCATGTCGTGTGAGCGGTTTACTTCTGCAATTATTTGTCACTCGTTGTGCCACGTGAGCGGTAAGCTTATTACAAAAAAAATGTTGTTTACAAAGATAGTATACTTGCCAAGTACACGAGTGTGAATCCGCCTTAAGGTTAATAACAATAACTACCGCTGTTCTGTGACTACCGTATGATCGAAAAAAACAGCGTCCAGTTGGCTGGGAAATGACAATTCCCGTATAAATTTACCTATAAAATGACAGCGATGTTCATTTCATAGCCATCGCTGACGCTGTTTTTTTTTTCGATCAAACCGTATTTTTAGTGAGTAATTAAATGTACTTACCGTTCATACTCTGACGGTAAAGTAAGTAAAGGGATTTACCATCACCAAATTTTGTTGAACAAGGCCGATATATACAAGAAATACTTGACATTATAATATAGTTTTTAAATAATTATTACCAAACCACGAAATACTAAGATGAACACTTTTAAAAACACAAACGCACAAGGATCACACGGGACACGTCGACTGACTAACTCACAAGGAGGTCCGACTAAAATGAAGCGTGTACTTGACACTGGAACAGAGTACCTAGATCCGTTGCCTGAGGCATACTTGAAATAAAGTATATAGAGATATTTGATAAATGGCAACAGTGGCAACGTCGCTTCTTCATATGACAGATAAACAACTTATTTCGCGCAGCCGCAAAGAAAATTGAAAACGGGACTGTCGCTACTCGGTGGTTTAAGTACTCTGCTATAGCCAACATAAGTTATCTCCAGTATGTGCGATTTATTGTCAATAATGCAATAAATCTGACTGATACAATCTGATTGTTATCCGACTAAAAGTCTCTTTTTGCTTCTTTTTGATTTATAAACCAGATCTCTTTGGGAATAATGGACGCTTTTTTTAAACAGTATATTTATATTTTATACCTATTGATATTTTTACATTGTTAATTTTAGTATAAAAAAATTTGTTTTCTGTTTTCAGATTTTTGTATAAGGCTCCCGTTTTCATGTTCCTGTGTCCGTTTTCTGTTCTTGAAGTCTGCGAATACGTGTGTTTATTTACAAATTACTGTAAGTCATATAAAAGTGCATATAATTAACTAATTGGTATTGAAACAATACAATCCTCTATATTTTTATATTTATTTAGTCACGTTGTTTCCATATTTCAAATAAATATATGTGAATAAATTATTTTTTGGTTTTATTTATGAAAAGAACAAATACAAAATACATTTGAACTGAAAGAGGGCCCGCCATTGAATAACCGGAAACGGAAATGAAAATTAAGCCATCATGTCGGCTGTCCAAAATAAAAACCAAGTAACTGTAAATTTCTTTGTATCGAGAAAAAACAGTTTTTGTGATTTTTACCAAGCCGCTTAAAACAAATGAGTTTATGGGGAAAAAGTTTTAATTGCTTAGTAGGTACGATAGAAGCGGATATGTCCATACATTTTTGCACATCTTTCTCCAAAATTGGAAGATAGGCATGAAAAAAATTGTTTTTATTTTTAATTAAGAACAGTACTTGATGGACCAAGGTTTTCGATCTTTTGCTTAAATAAGTTGAAGTCGACATCCTTCCCCAATGAAATCTCTTTGAATACTAACTTCCGTAAAAAAAACATCGTTTAGTAGTGATTTTTAATGTTAGTTTGGAAGGGGTAACAACTTAAAAACAAACTAAGACTTACTTTGTTTTTAAATTGTTACCCCACGATACTTACGATATGCACATTCCAAGATAAAAACGATGTAACTGCAATTCAGTTACTTCCTTTTTAATATTGCAAAATACGTTTACTTTGTTTTTAATTGGAAAACGCATAGTAACGACTGCAGTTACTTTGTTTGGCTAGTATCATAACTTCGTTATTTATTATCCGATTGAAGAAATTTTAATACCAAAATGTCCGTAAGAACGCAGTAAGTGCCATTAAAGTAAAAACTATTTTTTTTAAAAAATGTCAGTTACTTTGTTTTTATTTTGGACAGCCGATGTCCTTATCATGTCAACCTGTCAATTGGAAAATTAGTTCTCCAGACGACAACGAAGGCTTTCGGTGGCGTATCGTGTTTCCACGATTTAACACAGAGTTGACACTTCTTTCTAGTTAATTATTTTATGCTAAAATGACTGAAAACAGGCAGTCTTTTTGGCAGACGTGTACAGAATATCATCATTGTTTAATATGCCTAATTCTGATTAGTCTTTTTGCAAAGTGACTGGAAATAGTACTAAAATAATACGTTTTGTAAAATTTCCTTCTTTTGTGTAAAAAGCCGGCGTTTCATAATATGCCTAGTCTTTTTGCAAAAAGCCGGCTTATTCTATGCGCCTGCGACATATACCTATAAAGGGTTTATTTAAAATTTGAAAAATTTACCTGTGCCCAAATTGTACGCTTTCCATGAGGTGAACGTCGGCTGTAACATTTTTTCCAGAGCCTTCAGATGTCCAATGGCCAAGTCGGTGATATGTATGTAATCTCTAACGCCAGTGCCGTCGGGAGTGGGGTAATCGTTGCCGAAAACTTGCAGTTTATCTCTGCGGCCCACTGCAACCTGAAAACAAGCGATGAAACAAATATGTTTTATTTTTAAAGAAAAAAATGCAAACTGGATGCGTAAATTTCAATCTAGGCTGGTAAAACCATTAATTTTTAATAAAGGAGCCTTCGAAAAATAAAAAAAAGATCCTTGGCAACAGTATATTTTTTGACATTAATTACAGATTCTCGGGAATCAAAAAATAACCTAACATCAGAAGAATCTAGTTCTGCACTAGAGTTTGCGAATAAAACGTATTCGAATACCGGATTTCTGTCTCTTCGCGATTTCAAAATAAATTTCAGCCGTTTAGAAGGCTAATGGGTTCACACGAAATTACTTCAAAAATCCGTCCAACATTTTAATAGAATGAATATACAGGGTGGCAGGACTGTATTCCGGAAACTTCGGCAGCATATTCTCCAGATAAAAATATGAAAAAAGTTCGTATATATGTATGTCCAAAAATGCTTAGTTTCGCGGATACAGGGTGTAGAAGTTTCATTTTTATTTCGATTTTTTCCAAATAATTTGTGATGTAATATCAATATTTGGATGAAAATTGGTGTCTGGGAGTTTTTTGATATGAGGAATTTGATTTTGATATCAATATGACTTCTGCTTGTAGAGGGCGCGACCTACATATTTTTTAACTGGTTTGAAGAGTAATAACTTCTTGTCCGTACCTGTATGAAACTACTGAGTAAAAAATATACATTTATGGAGTTTTTTACGTATAAAAGGTCTCTTGGTAAAAATCGATACGAGTAATGGTTCTCGAGATATTTTGAATCGAAATTATCAATACCTGTCATCATTGACATAAATTAAACATGTTGACTAAATAGTTATTAGACTGACATTATAAATTTGAAATATTTTTGTGCCAAAAGTTCAACAGAAACTGTTTTGTCATCATTTTTTCGCAGAAAAAATTTATGAATGATTAAAAAAAAAAATAAAAATTTTCCAAATTTATTATTTCAGTCAAATAATTATCTATTCAACGTGTTTATTTTCTGTCAATTATGACATGTATTGCCTATTTCCATTCTAAATATTTTGAGAACGGTTGCTCGTAGCTACCTACGGTTACTCGCAACTTTTTACTAAGAAACATTTTTTACGTAAAAAGTCATGGAAATGTATATGTTTCACTCAGTAGTTTTATACAGGTACGGACGGAAAGTTATTATTCTTCAAAACTGTTAGAACTTATGTAGGTGGCACCCTCTACAAGTAGGAGTCATACTGACTTCAAAATCCAAATTTCTCATATCAAAAAACTCCCAGACACCAAATTTCATCCAAATTACGTTACTTCATAAATTATTTGGAAAAAATATAAAAATGAAACTTCAACACCCAGTATCTCCGAAACTAAGCATTTTGGGACAAACATTTATTCGAACTTTTTTTATCTGCAGAATATGCTGCCGAAGTTTCCGGAAACAGTTCGGACCACCCTGTATATTAAGTACACATTTATTTTTCGATTTATTATAAGTTTTCAAACATGTTGATTTTTCTATTTAAATCCACGATTAAAATAAAAAAATCAGTTGATTTAAATCACGATTTAAACGTTTTAAAAAAATAATCAAAACGTGTATTTTTTTTCATTCTTTCGTCAATTTCAACTAAAGCTATACTCTTTATATGAATTATGTTTAAAACCACGTACATTTAAGAGTAGTCGTCCACAAAATACTTTAACTTTTATTAGTATAATTTTAGTTTATTTTCAAACTAAAAATATCAACATAACGTGCGTCATACTCGTTCAAAAATGTTTTTTCATATCACGAACGATAAAATTGCATAATGCATATTTGTTTCATTTGCTCAAATATTTAATATTTGAGCGACACAAATATTACTAGATCAGGGACTTTTCATAAACAAATTATCAATAAAAATTATCACTTTATAAAGAACCAGCTTTGAAAGATCTTTTACAAATATAAGTTCAAAAAGCGTTACAAATCTTGTAGATATTACTTTTTTAGTAAAATTTGGTTGTATAAATTTGAATGAGTATAACCTTTTGTACTTAATAACACCACTATTGACGTCGTGGACTCTGTGAGATTCTTAGGACTTGTTGTGGACAACTCTTTAAAATGGGACTTGCATATCGAAGCCTTATCAAAGAAACTAAGCTCTGCCTGTTTTGCGCTAAGATCAGTGTCTAAGGAACTTAACTCATCAACTTCTAGAATGGTCTATTATGTCCTTTTTGAGTCGCATCTTCGTTATGCCCTTCCATTCTGGGGTACTTGCTGCGCGACAAAATTTGATCGTATTTTCAAACTTCAAAAGAGAGCAGTTCGATACTTATTGGGACTAAACAGTAGAACTTACTGCCAGAATTTCTTTAAAAATTTCAAAATTCTGACTCTTCCTTCCTTATTCATTTTTGAATCCGTTTGCTTAATCCGCAAGCACATATTCTCTATTCCGGAAAGGCCTTCTCACAACTATCCACTTAGGAATGCGGAGCACGATATGTATCTGCCAACCCCGAGCTCAGAACTAGTTAAGGGCTCAATACTGTACAATGCCAAGAAAATGTACAATCATTTGCCTTCGAATATCAAGTCACTTTCATTCTTTCCCGCATTTCGCAAAGCTCTGAAATCATACTTACTGGAGAGAGCTATATATACTATATGCGGTAAACGACTTTTTTGTTGATGTTTAATCATGAACAATTTAGAATTTTAATTTTAATATTTTGATCATCTCACACACTGGTTAAAGGTCTAGTATTTAATTTTTTTTAACTCTTGATTTTATGTTATTATAACCATTTATATTATAACCATCCATTTACAGTTTTCATTTTGTAAAATTTTCTAGATACGCCTGTGTTCTGCAATGTCCATATATGTTTTAATTGTAATTTTATGACGTAATTTTTTTTTTGAATTGATTTGTATTGTATTACATTTTTTGTATTATTTGTATAAAATATATTTGTTTTTGTGCTTTTTTTGTTTTGCTTTGTCGATGAAGCTGTTTTGGCTTTTTGTACAATAAAGCGTTGTTTTTTTTTTTTTAATAAATAAGAGAAATAAGTAAACATGTAGAATGTTTAAGACTAATTTAAGGCTAATCACCGAATTTGCATTCGCCGTTGTTTCTTTCAATCTACTGAGTGTCCATTGAGACAGTGTCCTTTTAAAAAGTCCCTGATAATCCAAAGATCACTTAAATCAAAGAAAATCTTTGATTTTTTCCGGTCGTAAGTTCTGAGAAATTTCTGGGAATGTCTTAGACCGTTGGACGTTCCGTTAGACCCGTTCCAGATTGCAGATGGAGTCTTCCGGGTTCTTGTGTTCTGCTTTAAGAGTATATTACGCTGTACTTTCGGGTCGCTCTCAGGAGTCGGGTAAAGCGGGTGTGCGACCGAAAGAAATATAAGGACATATATTATATTTCAGAAATCTGCCTAAGGCTTAGCCCAATCCTGTCGTGTTAAGCCACACCCAAAATTCCAAACACGCGTGCTTTGATTAAGGCTTGATTATGGTTTGCAGAGCTTCAGCATTTGCCATAAAATAGCGAGCAATTTGTTACAAAACCATATTAATTATATATCACTGTATCTCAAAACTTCAATCTATTTCCGTATTGTAAGGGAATTTTAAATTATGTCTTTATTTTCGAGAAAATTTAGTACAAACATAAGGAATATTTCGTTGATGTTCAACCATCAAAATCTTAAAAATAAAGAAGTTATCTAAAAATGTGCTACAATACGGATATAGTATAATCCTTTATCTTTAATTTCCTTCTTCATTTGTGTAAAAATACCTAGCCAGTTTTACATAAAACGTTAAATGCCGAACGCTTATTTTGTTGCTTTTTCGGACTAGTGAAATGGACTCTAAAGTTAGTTTCTACTTGGGAAGCAGAACGGTTCTGGCTCAGTTAGTCGAGTGTTCGCTCTGGGATAGGATCCCATTGGTTCGGAGTATTCAGTTTTCGACCAAAATACTCCAATCCGTGTTCCTGCTTTGGTTTTGGAAAGCATCAGTAAAATAAATAATAAAAGAAATGTTATAATATTCCTTATAATATATTAAATTATTTTGGGACTTCTCTAGTTTTAGTTATTTCTCTGAGAATAATACCTCATGATAGGATACCAATGACCCTATAAAAGAATATGTACACATCTTTTTTGATTATCTATGTTTCAAAACACAATGTAAATAGACGAGTCTGATTTATTTACTAATCGACAATTAAAACCTTGATGATATGATGAAAAAAGTATTGAGTACCTAAAGAAAAAATAAAATGTAAGTGGTGATAAAATCATATCACACGCCATGCACGTTATTTTCACACCGAGATATTCAAGAAATCATTAAAAAGATTTTTTTTCTAAACAAATCAATTGTACTAAAAATACCCCAAATTCTAATACATCTTATGTTTAATGTTTAATTAAATTTCTGTATCTATATTCTGTATAGATTTTATTTACGCATCATGTAAAAAAACCCGATGAACTTTTAAGCGGATTTTAATTTTTTTGGAAGTTAATTAACTTTAGGAATTCAAAGTATATGCAGAGTGTCCCATTTTCGTGTGTTTTACAGGGTTTTTCGTATTTACATTTATAAGGTCGCGGTACCCTGTACAACTTGAAAAAAAGGACATACTAACAACGCAAGTTAAATAAAAGCTCGTAAACAGGTACCATTAAAAAATAAGCGGTAAAGAAATATGCAGTAAATCATTTTTGAAGTTTTCAATATACAGGGTGGTCCGAACTCGATTCCGGAAAATTCGGCAGCATATTCTGCACATAAAAATAAGTAAAAAAGTACCTACGTATAAATATATGTCCTAAAATGCTTAGTTTCGGAGATACCGGGTGTAGAAGTTTCATTTTTATTTTCATTTTTTCTAAATAATTTCTAACTGGTTTGAAGAGCAATAACTTTTCGTCAGTAGTAGTATGTTTTTTACTTAAAAAAGATCTCTTTGTAAAAATCGCTACGAGTAATGGTTCTCGAGATATTTGGAATCGAAATTATCAATACCTGTCGTCGTTGACATAAATTAAACATGTTGACTAAATAGTTATTAAACTGAAATCATAAATTTCAAATATTTTTGTGCCAAAAGTTCAACAGAAACTTTTTTATCATGATTTTTTCAAAGAAAAATTTATAATTTAAAAAAATAACAAGTTCCCAAATTTACTATTTCAGTCAAATAACTATCTACCCAACATGTTTATTTTTTGTCAAAAATGACATATATTGACTATTTCCATTCTAAATACATGTCTGGAGAACGGTTCTTCTTAGCCATTTTTACAAAGAGATATTTTTTAGGTAAAAAATCACGGAAATGTATATTTTTTCACTCAATAGTTTTATACAGGTATGGATGAAAAGTTATTACTCTTAAAAACAGTTAAAACGCATGTAGATGGCGCCTCCTATAACTAGGAGTCATATTGACATCAACATAAAATTTCTCATGTCAAAAAACTCTCAGTCACCAATTTTCATCCAAATATTGACGTTATTTCAGAAATTATTTGGAAAAAATGTCAATAAAAATTCTTCTACACCCTCTTTCTCCGAAACTATCCATTTTGGGACATACATTTATACGAACTTTTTTACTTATTTTTATGTGCAGAATATGCTGCCGAAGTTTCCGGAATACAGTTTGGACCACCCTGTATACATACCTGAGAGATATAGGGCATCAGATTATTAGGTATCCCTGAGGGATCTTCACCAATCAAACCAGATTCATGAGCACCAACGGGATTGAAGTATCTTAACAAAATCACTTTCCATTCCTGAAATGATCTGTTATAAATTTGACAGATATTATCTTACTCTAAGTGACAAAGTTAGTCGTATTATTTTATTCGAGTTGAATTTGATTAAATATATTTAATAATAATTAAGTATATTCAAATAAAAGAAGGCGTTATTACAATTCTAGCCTCATAATATAACAAATAAACTATAGTCTGTCCAACGAGAGGATCCATGACAGTGACAGTTGTGTTTGTCATTTTAATTCACAGGTAAATTGCATTTTCTGTCATTTTTTGGATGTCGTCTGTCGAAATCTTCACGGACTCGTTCGACCCTAGATCATATATACTTACGTGGATAAGTAAATCACTTTGAAAACTGTCGCAAACATATCAACGACTTCCATTTATCTTCTTTTGTTGCACACGCGGTGCTTCTACTCTGTCTATCTTTGTCGAGGACCAATAACGTCCACGCACCAAATTTGAACATTAATTTTAAAAATTTAATTTGGAAAATGCATATATTTGAACAATAAATTGCATGTTTACTGCCATAAAAATTAGATTATGTAAAAAATACATTTAGCCACTCCGTACGAATATCAATATTTTTAGGAAATCTAACCAGAAAGTATGCATGTGGTTTAATATAAATAAAAGAACAACTGAATACTTTACTTGCCTATGAAAAGAAAATTCGGGGACCTTTATATTAGAACTTCTATACACCAAACACTTTCTAGTCATTTTTAAGAGTATTTAGAAAAAAAAATAGAAATATAACACAATATATGCACAAACTTAAAATAAAAAATAATATAAGAAATATAAGCACAAACTTAAAATTAACTTCTCACTGAAGACATTTACATCCTTGGCTATATAAAAGCGGTCGATAATAGAGTGATTAAAACAATTTTTAAAATAAAAAAAAAGCAAAAAACAAGCGACGTTACACAATGGAAATAAGATTATGACATATGATTATGACAATGAAAAGTTGTTTTCCATAACAATGTATAATTTGTACTTTATAAACCGTACAAAATTGTGATTATTTTGGAAATACGTGCAACTTTTAATGCGCATGCGCAAAGTAAGGTCCTCGAGGAAGACAAACCTATTGAACGCTTCACAAGTGCAATAAAGAAGGTTTGAAAATGGCATGTCGTGATGTTGGAGACATATTTTTTAATGCTAAACTTATGGCGTTGATTTATCCACGTAAGTATACTAAGGGCTGGCAAAGGTTAGTGTTGGGTCGAGATTTCCGTATGTAAGAAGAGTACAATGCGTTTATAATTTACTGAACAAAGAGAGGACAGTAAACACGTTGCCAAACGTATGAAATAAACAGAGAAACTGTGCACATCGCTAAGAGACGTGGAAGGGGATATAGCAGATTTGTCGCAGTTGACGGGTCGACCCAATCAATACCTCTGTCAGTACTTAAAGTTCTAGGGAAAGGTGTACGTCATGCGTTCAGCTTCACGATTTAATTACGTCTCGTGATACTTAATTTGTTTATTTATTAACGAGTCGTTGTAATTTTCCCTATAGCTTGAATTTTTTTAAGTGCAAGCTAGAAACACTTGCATTTTTGGTAAAAATAAGTGGAATTGAGTGGGTGTTCGATAGTGGTCGCGCTATTAGAACTCTGAATTCAAAAATCGATATCTCGAAATCTATTAGAAATAATAGATTGTAGTGTTTTCAAGAACTTTGTTAATATTTCTGCTGTATTTTCTTTGTAGATAGTATATGAAAATCTTTATCAATAAAAAAATTACACGATTGCTGAAAATTGCTATGCTCTAGAAGTAAATGGATGGATCGTTTACAATTTTTGAATGGAAAAAATAACCTTATCGAATTTTTCTTATGTAAACATATTGTAAAATATCCGATCTTGAAAATAAAAAAAAGTTTCAATATCTAAAGTGGTTCTTGAGTTATGGCCTGTTATGTGTTAAAAAATTGAGTTTTTAAATTATCGCAATTACTGACGTTTTCTCGTTATAAAAAAAATTGACACCTTAACGATATCCCTCTAATTCCATTTCAGATGCTCAGAGACATGTCTAATGATTTTATCTAGTTACCTCTTGAAAAAAAAGTCTTTTAAAAATAAGCGGTTTGCGATCGTGATTTTACTTTACTTGATAGGGAAAGGCGTATCGGCAACACTGCAACAGCACACCGTCGCGCGTCGCGTCGGTCGGTCGCATTTCTCTCACTCCGACTTAATAAGATCCCTATGCGATTTACTTCCACACATGTAAATGCCGACCCAAAAGTAACAGTTGCCAGCACGGTATATGATCTAGGCGTTGCAGTTGGACAGACTATTAAAATCGTATATTTGTCTATTGATTTTGATAAATTCGAACACTAAATTCACTCTTGATCTAAATTAGGTAGGTACCTAAACTTACGGAATCGCTAGTACACAAATCCTTCAAAATCTCCTCTACGAAATACTTGGTTTTCCCGTAAGGGTTGGTACAGCCCTGGCCCGTAGGGTGGTCTTCCGTGATGGGCAGAAACTGTGGAGTACCATATACGGTAGCCGAAGAAGAGAACACCAATTTCTTCACGCCGTTATTGCCCATAACCTAACAAAGTTCCTAATCATAATTTATTTGGAAATGTTCAGAAGTTGCAATAGAAAAAAAAACAATAAAAACTAATTTGTTCATAACATTAATTCTAATCTCATGACCAAAATCAAGAATTAAAAATATAGGCTTGTTAATAAAATAAAAAATTGTATATCTTCAATTATTTTTGTCTAGAGAAGGCTACAAAATAAAGAAGTCAGGTATATTTTGAAAAATTCCACTGCTTTAGAATCCAGAACACAGAAAAAAAGAAGTAAGTAGAAAAAAGGAACTATGGTTTAGAACCATGACCCTGATATAAAACGTCAAAAGAACGACTAGACCGATTAGGCCGAGATCAGCTGTCATTAAAATCTAACCTCAAATAATGTGCCCGATCCTCCTATGTTGTTCTGGTAGTACGTTAACGGAATCTTCACGGATTCACCTACAGCTTTCAAGGCAGCGAAATGGATCACAGAATCGATTTTATGCTGGAAAAGACCAAATAAAACATATTTAAAGTACCTAGATTATACATAGGATGTTCAAAATAAATGAACATAATATGCCAAAAGTTATAAGTTTTTTAGTCGTTTTTTTTAATTTTCGATAAAAGTCTAGTTTCTAGAGTTGTTTTTAAGTAATTTTCAAATATACGCGGCAATATTGATCGGCACAGCGTTGCCCACTTTTACATATTATCTTTTAATCCAAGTATTTTAGGAAACAAAAATAAATTAATTATAAAAATAAAAACATTCATGATTTACATCAACAAAACTCACCTCCTTAACAGCACTTAAGGGACATAAGGAGTTATTATTACCGCTTTTCCGTTCAAAATATAAGATTGCGATGAGTTTTTTGCATCGATTATTAAACTATCTTGTACACTTCGCACTAAAGTGGTTCTAAAAAGAACAATGCTCCTCTGCAAGGTCTGCTAGTACAAACTTTTCAGCTTAAAGCATCACAATACAATTCATTTAAACCAAAAACTCGTAATACAAAACTAAAGTGTCAAAACGAATCATAAGTTCAGGAAATAAATAAATAAATGTAACAACTTGACAACACTTGTATCCCCGCGGGAAATTTGCATTCCGGTTAGTCAGTCCGACGCCAAATATGTCCATGGATGGCTACAATGAATTTAAAACTCTCGCCCTCGATTACGTAACTAAAAGGTTAATTGGGTATCGCTTATATGGTGTTGTTTTCATACATGCATAATAGACCGAGAGCTGGCTACATAAAAAAACCTTATCATCGTTACATGGCTAATTTTTCTTGTAAAGGCTCCTTATGTGTAGCCATAATGAAATAGTCATGTCTGCCAGCGCGATCCCGGGGCTTAAAACGGGGGCGGCCAATCGAAAGGGTGAAATTTTGACACTAAAAATATTATAAGGTACACGAGTTATAATTGCCAAAGAGCTTTTATTTATTATTAAGAAACGTGGAAAATTGTTAGCAGACATTTTTCTCGTGGCTGAAATGCCGACAGACAACGCGAAAGAGGCATGAAATTTTAACAAAAAAAATAGTCGCATACATGCATGCCGATTGGTGGAATGTCATATTTATTTACTTAAAAAGCCGTATCAAAAGGGTAGATGAAAAAGATCGTGGCTCAATCAGCTGTAGACAGTTATCAAAAGCGCGATATTACTCTACAGGGTGAGTTTGGATAAGTGCGAATATGTTCAGGGCTGGTATCTCGACAAAAGAAATATATTTTCTCTTTACCATTTTTCAAATGAGTCCAAAATAACCGTTCAAGTTTGAAAATTTAAAAAGCCATTTTTAGAAAGATTTATGAGTCACCTTTTTTTTTCTGTATTTGTATCCATTCTTTTAGTGTCGTAACAAGGTCGCATGGTAGATTAAAAAATTATACCGTGGGTAAATTTGCGGTGAACAGACAGTTGTACAAAGTTTTCTAAAATATAAAGGAACATTTTTAAAAAATGCAAGATTTTCAAGACGGGTAGCGTTCCCTGAAAGCGCTAGAGTAATATCGCGCTTTTGATAACTGTCTGCCGCTGATTTAGCCACGATCTTTTTGTCTGCCCTTCTGCATACGGCTTTTAAAATGAATAAATATGACATTCCACAAATCGGCATGCATGTGAGCCATATTTTTTTTCCAAAATTTCATGCCTGTGTCCTTTCGCGTTGTCTGCCGGCATTTTAGCGACAAGAAAAATGTCTGCCAACAATTTTTCACGTTCCTTAATAATAAATAAAAGCTATTTTCGCAAATATAACTCGTGTACCTTATAATATTTTTAGTGTCAAAATTTCACCCTTTCGATTGGCCGCCCCCGCTTTAAGCCCCGGGATCGCGCTGGCAGACATGACTATTTCATAATGGCTGCACATAAGGAGACTTCACAAGAAAAATTAGTCATATAACGATAATAAGTTTTTTTATGTAGCCAGCTCTTAGACTATAAATTGTTTATTATTTAATATTTTTATAAATAGCTGCATTTTTTTACAGTGGACACAAAAAATCAATTATTTCAGATCTATTATTAATTAATTTAATTTCTCACTCAAGCTAATAATAATTTTTGGCATGACATGTTATTAAAAAATATAAATATGTCTTTCTATTCAAATATGGGGTACTAATTAAATCATCATAAAATTTGTAATACAACTATGGTAATCGCAAAACAATTTCCGATGCACGTGATCAACTTTTAGTGACATGCGAGGGACAGCGCTGCCAGATTGTGATGGATTTATGAGATGAATCTCAATTTAAAATTGACAAACAACATATTTATTATATCATATTTTAAAGAGTTTTACGATTTATTTTTAATTTAATAACTAATATTTTAGTAATTAATTAATTTATTTGTTTTATAGAATATATTACTTATGTTTTTTTTGATTCTTTTCTTTGACCTCTCAATATATATTTTATTTAATTTTTTCTTGGCTTTAGGTCAGGTAAACAATGAGAAAAACGGTTTTTTTATATTATAAATTTCATTGACGTTTCGAACTGGTAGGGTCTTTATCAAAATTTAATTACTTGAAGGTAGATTTCGGCGCATTGTTTTAGTTTTTATTTTAATTTTTATTGTTTTCTTTTTACAATTTTATCATTTTCATTCTTAGCGAAGAAAATAATCCAATATCCAACATTGGCATCAACACACACATAACATGTATCGATATGTTTATGTTCATTCACACACACACATAACATGTATCGATATGTTTATGTTATGTGTGTGTTGATGCCAATGTGGGATATTGGATTATTGTCTTCGCTAAGAATGAAAATGATAAAATTGTAAAAAGAAAACAATAAAAATTAAAATAAAAACTCAAACAATGCGCCGAAATCTACTTTCAAGTAATTAAATTTTGATAAAGACCCTACCAGGTCGAAACGTCAATGAAACTTATTATATAAAAAAACCGTTTTTCTCATTGTTTACTTGACCTAAGGCCAAGAAAAAATTAAATTAAATATATTACTTATTATATATTGGCAAAAACTCGTCCATTATGAAGATTATCATAAGTGTTTATTATGGGTTGTTTATTTATTTATTGGTGTACATCTTACAACGCCATAAGTGGTAATAACAAGTAAGAGGGTGCTATTAATGCACAAACTAATAATTACAGAATTTAATAAAAACTAACTTTGAAAGTGGTATAATGTGCTTATCAATAACTTACTTTTCTGACTGCAGTTAAGGGTAATAAACATAGACTTAAAATAAAATATAGACTACACTATTTACATCTCAACGCGGACAAACATTCTTTTTTGTACACATGTTTACTTCTGGGTACAGTCGACCGAGCCTTCCTCATCCAGCCTATGTTGTCACGTCTTTAATATTATCAATATTTTTTTCCTTGTTATACACATATATTGAGATATTAATACTACAGTTTAATAAAGTAGGTTTTAATATTCCATAGATGTATTAAATAGTCCTTATACTACTAAATTATAAGTCGGTTACTGTTTAAAAAGGATAAGTTCTTTACAATATGACAACACCGATTAGAGGCGAGGGAGCCTATTCATTCATTTATTAATTTATTACCTTGTAGTACGTGTCGGACGTGTGCGGTAAAGCTTTGTTGCCGCTATCTCCCCGGCTGTATTAATGCATTTTCTTAGCTTGTAGTCCTTAAGTGTTTATTTTATTGACTTTTTCTGTTCAAGAACTATAAAATATGGTTCGCCAGTGCCAAATTTGTAAGAAATTTGACTTAAATAATCCATTTAAGTCTTGAAACGACTTTTGACCGGTAGGCAACTCAATTTACCCATTAGGAGTCAGTGGCGTTGTTGTAGAAAGGCGCTTATGTAAGATAATATTTTAGTAAGTTGTTAGATAATATTTTAGTAAAATGTAAAATCTGAATTTTTTCTCTTACATTACATTATTTACTTACTTACATTGTAACAAAATCATAATTATAACCCTGTTAGTAATTAATAATGTTTTTATTAAAAATATATTCCGGTTTATTCTAAAATTATCTTCAGAATCTAAAATAACATACAAGAATTTTAATATGATATTACATTATGAGACAATATTTTTTAATATACCGGGTCGTCTCAAAAGTGGTTCACCGCTATAACTTTTTTATTTTTTCAGATAAAAAAAAACAGATTTGTATGTTAGTAGGTATATGACATAAATTAGGATTTATTGACGTATTCAATTGTTTTTGGTCTCTTCCTGTTTCACCGAAATGATTACATCTTTTGATTTTTAAAGGCACCCTCTGTATATTGCTACTTTATTCGATAAAAAATGACTTGAACTGACTGAATAGAATGACATATTATATGTCAACTTTTGACATTGTCGCTTAAAAACAAATCGTATTTTAAATTTCAATCCAGGGTGCCATGGTGTTGTTAAAAACACTAAGTTTTAATCAAAGAGCCTTGGAAAAATAGTTTTGATCGTCTAATGGGTTTCGTGTCTTGTCTAAGCCGGTTAAAAGATGTATACAATACAAATCGTATTTTTAATCATACATATGTCAATTTTTTCAAATGGAACAAGGGTGACTCATTAGCATATTTGGAAAAAGCATTTTTTTATGAATATATTGATACCACACACTTGGTATTTCGAGTCAAATTGTCGTTATGAACCGCGTGTTATAATTACAATTAAACCATATGCGAAAATGTCAAAAGTTGACATATAATATGTCATTCTATTCAGAGTGTCATTTTCTATCGAATAAAGTAGAAATATACCGAGGGTGCCGTTTAAAAATGTTATAATTAAAAGTTATAGTCATTTCCGATGAAACAGGAAGTGACCAAAAACAATTGAATGCCTCAATCAATCCTAATTTATGTCATATACTAAAATGCTAAATCTTGTTTTTTTATTTGAAAATATAAAAAAATTATGGGGATGAGCCACTTTTGGGACGCACACGGTATAATAAAACAGTACCGAGTTAAATAAATGTAGTTTTCATTTTGTCCACTTCCTATCACCTTCGTTGCTTTAATGGAACAGATTTATGTTTTCTCTAATTTACATAATAAGACATCACTTAACCAGAAAAAAAAATACAACAATCATATTTTATTTTCTCTCCCTGTCGGCGATTCTATTATATCTGTGGAATAGATCCTGTTTTGATTAATATTAGGGGTTGTAAATGTTTGACTAAAATTAATAATTTATTATTAATTTCAAAAATTACGTAATTTCGATTATACAATTTCTTCTAGAATGTGTATTTTACTATTTTTATCCTTTTTGGACTCTAAGACGTTTTTTCTAAACTTTTATTTAAAAAACCTGTCCTAAATCTTAATAAAATATAAAAAAGTTTAAATACGATATATTTTTAATTTAATTATAGCTTCATTAAAATAAAAAAAATTACCCGGCTATGATACGGTGAGTTCAGGTGTACTTGAGAAACGAAAGACAGTGTTGTGTTTCTCGGCAGAGTCGTCAGGGAACGACCGTTACGACAGAGACAACCTATCTATCGCTCGTGTCGCACTCGTTATAACCTAAAACAATAACACAACAATAACAAGACATTGTCTGACCGCATGTTCCAGCTATTTATGAATGAGATGCTCAGTCTATATTTTATTTTAAGTCTATGGTAATAAAGCACCTTTATTGTCACATTCTCGTTCAAAATAGTTTAAAAAAAACAAGCTATTTGCTTCGACTGTTTTAAATTTTTGCTTCGGAATATTTTCAACACACAAATTTCAAGAAACGCAATACAAAAACTCCAAAATTTAGTTCTTAAAAGAACTGTTTGCGCTTAAAAGTGCAATTTAAAAAAAATACTATGGAAATATGCAAAAAAAAACGAGAATTACTCACAAAGATTCAACAAGAACACGATATTATACAACGTAATGACTGACTGACACTAGGATAATTGTCAAATAATAAAGGACAACATTGCTACTCGCGGCGCAATGTGGCCAACATAACGATAATAAAATTCGGTTAAAAATAATTTTTGCAGCTTTAATCTAAATAAAATATCTGTTACAATCATTTTCCCTATAAAGTAAAATGAAGAGCTGCGCGGTATCTTAAATTAAACAACAAATTTAAATATTTTTTGCCAAAATTTCATTTAGTCAGGTTTATAGAGTTTAGTGTCAATGGCGATATGATTGATGACGTGCATCGGAAAATGTTTTGCGATTACAATATGTACGTTTTTAAATTTGATTGATTCTGTAGCTCAAATTTTCTTTATTACATTGATATTTCGACTATTTCTAGATTATCTATAATTAAAGTATTAATATACTTACGGATTTGAAAACTTTATCTAGAGCCTCTTTATCTCGTATATCTACATTGTAAAATATAACTTTTTCGCCAGTTATCCTTTCGACTCTCTTCAGCGCTTCGGGCTTTTCATTATTATTTTTCGCATAGCAGTTGACTAAATTATCTATAAATAAAGACAAAAAAAAATGTAACAGATTTTTTTCCGAAATTTAGTAAATAATGCATGGATTTGGAATAGAAAAATTCCTAAATTTAACAGACTACCGCTTGTAAAATAGGCTCAGTATTCTAATTGTAGACAACTATAATTAAGCTGATTTTTATTTCATCTGTGCTACATTATTTGCTGATTATTTACCAAATCATTTGACAGCTTACCACGATGATTTTTCGGACGTGGAAAAATCTAGGATAGTCTAAAAAACTATTAATTCTATGATTTTTAAGTTTTTCTAAAATCTTAGGATTAATTGAAATGTTAGATAAAAACAATGTTGTGTGTTGTTTTCTGTCGTCCAAACTTAAAATAAGATTGTCTCTAGAAATAAAATCAGATCATAAGCTATGGTCAGCCGTCAAATATAATTTTATATACAATCTATATAACTAAAACAAAGCAAAAAGCAAATTAAAATGAGCCATCCTTGTCTATTTTTTTTATCGGCCATATTGTGCTGATTCAGTAGGCTGTCAACCTTATTTTAAATATCCATATATTTTTTTCCCTTTTCTTGGGTATGAGTTTTTTTTAAATAATGGCATGACATGTTTATTTAAAAAAACCTCATACCCATGAAACGAAAAAAAAATGTATGGATATTATCTAAAGGTTTAAGAAGTAAGAAACTATACAAGGAGGACAATTTTTGAGGCATTTGTTGTCGTGTTACTTTCAACCCTTTGACCCCCAGAGCACCTACCCCTAAACTTTTAAATGGCAACCTTTATTTCTTTTACCATTTTTGTGTTCCTTATAAAATTCTCAAAAAAATAATGCAGTTTATGTAGAACTAGCGTGTACCAGCGACTTCGTTCGCGTCGAATTAATCATTTGTAATGGTAATGATAAAGCAAAGCAAGAATTTCTATTAACATACAAACTGGATAAAATTTTCTCACATTTATGTCAGCATGAGAAAAAGCAATATGGCTATATTATTATATAACTTGGTAATATTTGAGGAGTAGTTTCATCTCGTTAGAATTTGACTTTCGAAAAATGCGTTTGCCAAAAATACGCTTTTTACGTCAAGCAATTTAAGCACAATCGTGGTTAATCAATTACCCAACTTTTTGGAACACCCTGTATAATTTTTTAAAAAAATTCAAAATATGTAAAAAAACCAAATAAATTATGCTTGTCCAAGCGTTTTCCCGAAAGACTAACCGCTTTTTAAATAACAAATACTGTAATATTTGAGGGACGTTTTCACCCTCTTGGAATTTGAGATTCGAGAAACCCCTCCTTATCGAACCTCTACACCCCACAGTCAATCCGTTTGCCAAAAATCAGCTTTAAACGTCAAGCAGTTTAAGCAGAATTGTGATTACTCAATGGTCATATTTTATGAAACACCCTGTATAAATTTATAAAAAATCTTAAAATATGTAAAACAACAAAAAAAATATACGTGTTTATGAGTTTTTCCGAAAAACTCACCGGTTTTTAAATAAAAAATATTTTAATGTCTGAGGGATAGTTTCACCCCCTTATAATTTGAGTTTCGAAAAATCCCTTCTTATCGAACCTCTACACCCCAAAGTCAATCTGTTTTCCAAAAATCAGCTTTTTACGTCAAGCGCTTTAAGCAGGATCGTGATTAATAAATGACCAGATTTTTCGAAACATGTATACATTTGTATGTACAATGTATACAACCCTGTATACATTTTTAAAAAATCTTAAAATATGTAAAAAACCAAAATAAAATATACGTGTTTAAGCGCTTTTTCAAAAACTTCACCGTTTTTTAAATAAAAAATATTGTAATATTTGAGGGGTGGTTTCACCCTCTTGGAACTGGAATTTCGAAAAATCCCTTCTTATCGAACCTCTACACCCTAGAATCAACCTGTATGCCAAAATTGAGCTTCTTACGTTGAGTGGTCTGAGCAGGATCGTGATTAATCAGTATGTCAGTCACTTAAGGATTTTATATATTAGTATAGATTGTATAACAAACACAAAAATGGTAAAAGAAATAGGGGTTGCTATTTAAAATTTTAGGGGTGGGTGCCCTGGGGGTCAAGGGGTTGAAAGTAACACGACAACAAATGCCTCAAAAATTGTCCCCCTTGATATGCAAATTGACGTGTTCTGCTGTTACCCATATTTTCGTACTATCATCGGTAGAGGCAATATTAAATACTGTTCGTTTTCAAATTGTCACCCTGTATGAATATCTAGATGCAACGTTCCTCTATATCAGCAGGCCTGGCCTAAACTTTAGAAATTTAAATGTCAGATCCCACTTACATTGCTTGTACTATACTGTCTTGGCCGTGTTTACGAGAATATTTAACCCATTTGACATCTCCTTTTGACAGATATTATCCAATATTTGAGATGGGCTATACAGGGTGTCCTAGAAATAAGTGCAAATATTTTAACTGGTAGTAAATTTGGACCCTAGAAACACGCCATGAGGGTTTTTTCGAGAATTTTTTTTTAAATTTTAGATTTTTTTTTAGTTTTCAGTTAAAAAACATTATTTCATAATAAATGGCAACATAGGTAGTAGATTAACTTTTCAAGCAAGAAAGCCCAGAAAAGATACAGTGATTCTCAAAATTTAAGCCAATTTTTTTGCAAATTTTCAAAGTAAAATAACTCGTTTATTTTGGACTTATTTGAAAAACGGCAAACAGAAAATATGTTTCTTTTATCGAGATCTACCACACCTTAAAATATCTGCACTTATTTCTGGGGCACCCTGTATATATGACCTAAGGTGTTAATATTCGTGCTTATAGTGTTAAAAAACTAATATTTTATGGTTATATTAATAAATACGAACCTATAGCAATAACGGTGTAGTTATTTTTAAGCAATTCGACTACTGTATGCGATCCAACGTATCCAGCACCCCCGGTTACCAAAATTGTGCTGTTACCCTTCATTTTCTCATCGGTATCCGTTATCCACCACCTGTGAACCATTTTTATTTCATTGCATTTTGGTTTAAATAACGAAAAAGTAAACAGTATATTATTTTTAGAAGCGTTTTTAGCTATTTTTACCAATGGACTAAAGAATACAAGGACATGTAACGCCCATATACGGGCTGCAGCAGAATTTGTGACCTTAGACGCCATCTCTTTGGAAGCAACAAATGAGTCATCAGCTGGTCATCAGCGACAATTTTAGCGATTTTTAATAGTTGGTTGTGTTAGTGAACTTTGTATAAACTCTATTACAATGGTAATTTGTTCAGCTTTCAAGTGTAAAAGGCACAATGATAAGCAGCGGCGCACAGCTAAACTAAATCTCGGAAAGGTTTTGTGCAAATACGTTTAAAATAAAGTATACGGAGGGTACCGCTTAAATTCCTATCCCGATATTGAAGGATGGCTATAGAATTTCAATGCATTTCCTACATAAGTCTATCCTTGGTTTGTAGGAGGTTTGACTAAACAAGGATGAACCTATGTCTTGAACATTCGACTCGATTTTCTGTCCTCCTTCAATACTGGGACGTAAATCCTCTCATTGCTCTTATGGGGAGGCCGTCGTATATTTTATTTAAACGTATTTGGTTTTGTGCCACGAAATCGCCCATAAGGTTCCGCATCTTCTAATTTCTTCAATCAACGATAGAGAACGTTTCCAGATACATAAATCGTTTAGAGTTGAACCACGGCATATAAATCACACGGCAGGCTAACTCTCCCTAGATCCCATTGTTTAAAATTTCTATAAAATTTGATCTTGAAAACGCCATTATGGGTGCCGAGTCAGGGCCGGATTAAAACGTATCAAAAATTTTCCCAGAAAATAAACTATTGATAGACAGGGTCGTATTAAAAAAAATATTGTAATTGACTGAAACTGAATTTTATTTACACAATACTTTTGTCTAAAGAAATGAATCGTATACATGAACCGCGCATACTCCTAGAAAAGTAAAAATGAAAAAATTAATTAAACATTTAACTGTAGAGAATAGACAATTTAAAATTAAAAAACATGCCAGCAGTTACAAACAAAAATTAAAGAAATACCCAATAAAATATCTATTGAACAATATAAAGAGGCTACGTACAAATTATGTCCATTAAGGGACATAGCAAATTTTGTTAATATTCAAATTGCACAAATTAACAAATCAGCTAAAGGAAGAAAAATAACTGATGAATTTAAATATAAATGTTTAGTGATATACTTTTCCGGGCCAAAAATATACAAGATGCTCTTGACAAATCTATTGTGCCTTCCACGTTCAGAGACCCAGAGACACTAAGAAAATGAATATATGACATACATCGATATCAAACCTGGCTTAGAAAATCTTAGTGTATTTGAGACTCTAAAAAGAAAAGTTGAAAGTTTCGATGAACCGGATGGACTTAATCGATATTTTGTTCGATGTATTGATGATATGAATATCAAATGCAATTTATTTTAAATAGTAGTCGTGATAATATTGTAGGTTTTGAGGACCAGGAGAAGGGGAGCAGAGAGTTTAAACCAGCTCGGGTGACTAATGTTGTTATGGTAAGTAGTATCTTTACCAATTGGAAGCAATCCCTACCTTATTTTTTTATCACACATTTAAATTAAACTTAAAAATATTGGTATGAACGATATTTTATTAATAAGTGTATAATACACTACCAAACCACTGTTATATAAAAATGTTCAGAAAAACAAAAATATAACTACAAAAACAAAATATAACACACAAGAAACGAAAATAAAACTACAAAAACAAAATATATCACATAATAAACAAAAATAAAAAACCCAATATATCACTCAAGAAAAGAACGAAATAAATTAACCCGCACACTACTGACTCAAAGCTGCCATGATGTTCACTAATGACTCAACACTAATGACTCAAAGCTGACTCAAAGCTGCCGATGACAAAAACTACAACTGACTACGACACTGGTTAATTTCTGTTGCTGGCACCCATAATGGCGGCCTGCGCAAGGATATGCGCGTTGCGTTCTCGCCAAAGCGAGTCGGCTTGCACTTGTGACTAACCCTAGCAGGCAACTATTAAGCCCGACCAATCACGTTAGAGTTTTTGACAAAAACCAATGAACTAACACACTCCAAATAACCACGCTAACCAACCTGATTGGTCAAGCTTAATAGTTGCCTGCTAGGGCTAGACACTTCTTCGGCCTGCCGTGTGATTTATATGCCGTGGTTGAACCTCGCCAAAATCACCAAAGATTTAAGATTGTCATTTCCCAGCCGTCTTTGACGCCATTTTTTTCTCGATCGTATGGTATAAAGAGAAGTGTCAATCTTTTAACGATATTCAAGTAAATTTCCATTATTAGTAATCCTTTACATTTTTTCATTAAAAAGGATTAAAACACTCTGCTTTCAAAATGGTTTATCATGTTTTCCACTTGACTGAATTTTTTAATAGAATCAACGGATAAAAACCAAAAAAACAAAACAAGCTTCTTGAATAAATAAATTATAAATTGTGACTGGATTGAGCGATCCAGTTTTAATTATATCAAATATGAACATAAGTGGCAAAATACTTCATTTCATAAATTTTAGAATTAAGAAATCAACGTTAATGCCTACTTAATGTAATAAAAAAGATATTAAGTGATACTCGTTATTATCGTAAGGTGAGTTCAATTAATTTTTAGATAACCTTGAAGTTATTTTCAATATCATTAATAACAAATTTGATCGATTTTCAAATGTATTTGTAATATTCAAATTAAAAATTTAATGAAGGTAAATGCTAGTTTTTATTTTTAAATAAAAATGAGAAACAAAATTCATAAAAACGACATATCCTAATTATTTTTGATAAATACCATCCGATCCAAAAGAAAACAGCGGCAAAGACGCCTGGGGAATGACGGTCGATGATGATTTTCGCGAGGTCAAGCTCTAGACCATTTATTTGGCCCGTACTCTTCTTTATTTTTTAATATGCAGAGTGATCCATTGCAATAAAAAAAAATATCCTGTTTGAAATTTACACTATTCTTTTTGAAAATATGCCCTACATGAAAAATATTTTTCTTAATATACAGGGTGAGCCAAACTTAATTCCAAACTAAAATTGTACCTAATTACTAGATTCTATGTTTTTTTAGAAAGTATTCTGTGTTTATATGTAACTCAGTAGATTTGTCGTTCCAGAAATTTCTGTCAAAATCTATACTGAGTGATTGCATAAATATTACCGTTTTTAAATTCTATTTTTCAGAAATGTTAATTTCTTTGATAATTAAAAAATAGAAAAATATGTTTGCTTTTAAATTAAATAATTTTTAATTAGTTTAGTTTTTTCTTATTCAAAATTAATTATAGTGAAATAAATAAATTGTATGGATACCAACAATTTTTAAATAATTATATTTATAAAGTAATTTTACAATGAAAATTTAACATGACAAATTAATAGGTATGATTCTTATTCTTTTGATGCAGCTTGATTAAAAGATTAAAAGCATCCTATTTAAAAAATCACCTTATTTTTGTACAGTTCGTCTGCTGGATCTGTGTCTATGAAAGGAATGCGGACAAAAAACATTTAAATGAACAGCAATATATTTTATACGTCGACTTGACGAGTACGTCACCGCAAATCGCTCCGCCCACTCATTTTATTGGCTACTTGCAAATTTGTCGAATTTTTATTGATGGGACGCGTCGTCTAATTTTTTACGAAAAACATCGAGAGAATATCGTTTCCCCTCTCACGGATACCCCGCAGCCACAGAACGGACAGACGTACTGTATAACTATTATAAAAATATTTTTGCAATATGCCTTACTGTTTCCCACATATTTTCTAAAGAAATTGGAGTGGACCACCCTGTATATTGTCATAGTAAATACTAGTAGTGGGAACTATCGAATGAATACTATCGAAACATTCGATAGTTGCAATTCATTCGAATAATTCGATAGCTAGTAAGAAAACATTCGTTGAAAACTATTCGAATAAAAATTATCGAATAGATGCGTCATCTGCCTTGAAATATTGTATTCTAGTAATTCGGCAGCAAAAACCATTCATTTATAAAATTCATTCATTTATTCGTCAGGATCGATCATAATAAAATATTAACTGGATTTTAGTTGTCGCCCGGCGACGTAGATTTCTTTCCGAGAAACCCGACAGCGGTCGGTGGCAATGCTATGAAAGAAGCCGGCATCTTTGATTTTTTGCGGAGTCATATAAAGATAAGGACTAGAGATCTGCACGGGCCGGGTAGCCCGAACGGGCCTCAGGCCAGGCCCGGCCCGAACACGGCCCACGTGCCGGGCCGGTTTCGCACTGTCAATAGGGGTCGGACCTCGGGCCGGGCCGGTTCCGCACTTTAAATAAACACAACTTTGCTTCTGTACATGTTTTTGAGACACCCTGTATTATAATAGGTGTTTTTAGGCTATGTTTTTGTGAAATTGATAGATTGTCTGGAATCGACAAAGAACTACTTGGAATAATTGTAATTGAAAGGATTTTTGTAATTTTATTTTGATCATTTTATTTTAATGGTTCGGGCCGGGCCGGACTAGTTTAAGTTTTAACTTTCCACAAACCGAGCCGGGCTACAAAAAACCGGCCCGTGCAGGTCTCTAATAAGGACACATTATTTTTTTTATTGAGGTGCTAGTATTTACACAGAAAATACATTATGACGGGCGCTGTTGCCATATATTGGTATTAGTTGATATTAGCCATATTAGCAAAGAATATTATTGTTTGGCTTTAGTTAGTTAGGGATAGTATGTCTATATATTTTGCATTTTTTTTATTAATATTCTGTTGTTACACTGCAATAATACTTGTTATTTTGGATGTAGGAAAACGATTTTTAATGTTTTTAAGCAAAGACTGGTTTAATGAAAACAACAGTAATAATTTGTTATACCTATTAACAACAAAATTTAAAATAATTTAATATAAACATTTTTTTACGTAGTAGCAAAATATAAACAACAAATTAGATGTGAAAATTATTTATATTAGATCCTATTTAAAAATAATATAGTTTTTAAATTTTTTGGCAACGTTGGTTTATTAACTAATAATAATTACAGAACTAATTTGTTATATTAACAACAAACTTTAAAATCATGAAATATAAACATTTATTAATTTCCTAAGCATGCAGTGTAATGGAAGGAAAATATAAATAAAAAATTAGAAATCAAAATTATTTATATTAGGTACTTTATATTACTATTTAAAAATAATATTTACTTTTACTGGCATTTACTTTAAAAAATAAATGTAATATTTCTTTGCAAAAAACTACATGTAAGAGAATTAGCATAAACAAAATACAAACATCGTTAACTTTTTTTTTAAATTGGCACATGTAAAACTTTCAATTTAATTTTCTCACCCCATAGTTTGAGTTCGATAACCATTTACTTAACCACATTACTTAAATGTGATTATTAAGTTTATTAAGTTCAACTAATTCATATTATTGAAACATCTAAAATACAAATATGTATTTTTAAAATTAATTCTAAGTTCATCTCATCTCTCTTAATAATTGCTACTTCTCAAAATTCCCCATTAAAAAATAGACCATATACCATATAAAATAAAATAATTGAAAGATCGGGCTACGGAAAATCACACAAATTTTCGGAAAAATTTTGACACCTGCACACGCACACAATCGTCAATTATTAAAAAAAAACTACTATTTTAGTATTTTAAATATTTTAATAAACGCAAAAATAGCACAGTATTTAGAAGGCAAGTTATAAAAATTTGGAAGAACTAATAATGCACTGACGCACACAAAAATCAAACGAATACTAAATTTAATTTATCAAAAACATTCGATAGTCGTAGCTCAACGATAACTATTTAGTCGCACGGCAAGGTTGTCACATATGCTTTAGTATACAAATGAATGAATGATTTTATTCGAATAACCATTCGATAGTTGAAATCATTCATTCAGTAACCATTCGATAGTCTAATTCATTCGATAGTTCCCATCGCTAGTAAATACATTTATCTAATACCCCCATACACCGAAAGATCCGGCCGGACCTGATCTGCGGATTTGGCCTGTCACGCGTACCATATCTCTCGCTTTGGCATCACGTACTAAAACTCCCGGCGGATTTGGCCTGCCGAAAACAACGCCGAAAAAAATAAAGTGAAAAAGATCGCGAGCCAGGTCGGAGCTGCTATAAAACGTCGAAAGATCTCATCGGCAGGCCAAGTCCGCAGGCCGGGCCTTCCGGTGTATGGGGGGCTAATAATTGTATCTGATTGTATTGATTCAAATTCATTTTTCTAAAATAAAATCATACATCTGTTTTTAAATCGCCACAAAACAAATGTGTCAAGGTGCGCGTCAGAATGATAAAATTCAAATAAAAAGTGTGGTAAGACAGTTTCTTTTTTTGGTTTTTAAAATTAATTTTTATTGATTTATTAAATATGACATTATCTTGATGTAAATAACATATATGTACCTTTCTTTAAATACATTTAATATAGTAAAGAATACCACATATCTAATTATCTAAACTGGTACGTATATTTTAAAAATTGTTTTAACTACACCTACCTACTTACTTAATGTATTTAGCTCAATTTTTTTTATTCTAATGTTTAAATATTTTAGACAACAGAGAGATCGAAGTTAAACAATTTGGTAATATAAATGTACGAATTTAAAAGAAATGATGTAATAGAAAATTCTAAAAAGCTACAGAAATTCCTGTAAATGCCAACTTTCAGTTAAAATAAACAAACAAAGCGTTTACCTTGGAATTTTATATTCCTTTTCACAAAATTTGATATTTCTTTAGAAGCACAGAATATATTCTTACATAATCTATTACATTAACTGTGTTAGTTTTGGCTTCAGGCTAAAAAAACTAAATTTTGAGCAAACTTTCAAGGAAAAATTAATTATTTTTGTATTTTACATAAAATTAATTAGGTATTAAAATTATATCAATACCTATTTAACTTCGTATATAGCATTAATATTTCATTTATAACCAGATGAAATAATTCACTTTGTTAAAATATACACAATTCACAAAGTTCGATAACCAAAACAGTCCATATTTTTTCTAATCTAACAATTCTCTTCTAATCTAATAATTAAATCTGAAATAAAATGACTTAAAACAAAATTGCATTTTATCACTTTGTGCCTTCTTGATATTCCACAAACACAAAACTTACCCCCTAAAACACTGACACGAAAAAATAAAAGAAAACTAATACGACTTACCCCACACTTACTTTGTCAGATATCCCAGAGGCACGATAGCATAGTAAAACACTACGAACATGTACGTTGATTTATATAACAGAGATAACATTGTTATCATTAATTTTGGCAAAACAATAAATACTTATGGATTCGTGTAAAAAAATTGTATACGTGTGTAGGCCGATGACGATATTCTCAGACATGACAACATTGGACATTGTGTACGTTGTTTTTGCGGATGCAAAAAATTGGCTAAAGGATGAACACTTTTTGGAAAATTTTATTTAAATTGTAGCTCTGCTATAAACAGTCTCAAAAATAACATGATTTCTTAAAAACAATAAAGTGTCAAATTATTAATTAACAAAAGCAATTTTATCGCGAAAAAATGGCAACAATGCCACTGCTTTCTGACGTGACTAGAGATGAGAGCATACGTGATGTAAACATTTGTGATATGGAGAATTTTTTTTATTGTTTTTATGTAATTGACGACAAAAATAGAGATATGAAAAGATATTCGGTAATATTCTTTTTTCCAAATCTCTAGATGAGCCACATATACTATGTTTCAGTAAATAGAGCTCTAAATAAAGGCGTTTTTTATTATCATATATAATTTTTTAAATTTTGGACCATCTCTATTTGCCATAGAGGCTTTGTTGCTGCCAACATGGAAAGTGACGGACATTGTCAAAATTTTTAGGTTATATTAAAGGTCAAATTCAAATTACAGCTGATTTCCAGGCCAGAATAATTTAAAATTTTTTGTAAATTAAAATGTTATACTTGGTAAGCGCCCTTTTTAAACTAAACAGTGCTTATCGTTTTCGCGGTATCTCAAATTTTTAACATTCCAAAATCCATTGTAAGTTAAGTGTGTCTTTTTAACTGGTTAAGATCTTTTCAATTCATTCAACTCTATTCTTGTAAATACAGAGGCTAAAATTAAATATCTCGTTAGGTCATGTCCTCGAAGCAGGTATTTATATTCTAAAAATATATTTTTTAGGTTAGCTAGGACTAGAACTAGTGAAATAATCAATTCAAAGAAGCAATTTCCTCCTTATAGATATAATGTGGCTGATCAAGAGGTAGTATCAACTGAAAAAATGACTCAAATGATGGTGATTATTGCCGCTGCTCATCTAGTATACTGTCCTTTTACCAAAGTAGAAGAAAGTTTCAATTTGCAAGCTATACATGATATTCTTTATCACAAATGGAATTTATCTGAGGTAAATCAGTTCTCAAAAATGTATGTTTGAAGTAAAACTCAGATTTTTTATAGTATGACCACCTAGAATTCCCAGGAGTAGTACCAAGAACATTCTTAGGTCCTCTTGTTGTATCAGCATTAGCATTTCCTTTTGTTTTCATACTACAATGCTTAGAATTTAATAAATTTTGGGCCCAATATATTGGTACTTATGATGGCTTTATTAGTGATCTTATTTCTAATATAATATACTTTTCAGTTAGATTTATACTAGCTTTATGTGTAATATATGGATTTAAGAAACTGAGTAACACCCTTTCAAAACAGTTTGGTTCAAGATGGTTGCAGTGGTTCATTGCCATAACGGTAACGCAAAGTCATTTTATGTTTTATATGAGCAGGCCTCTACCTAATATAATGGCTTTACCTTTAGGTAAGTGTATAAAAACCAAGAAAATGCTTCAAATTGTATTAAAAAATGTGACTTAATACCTTTATGAACTTACCTTTCAATAAACATTCAGATATATGTAATAGGTATTTGGATATTATGCTTGACACTTAAAATCTTTGTTTAACTTGATATCCCATCATATGTAGTACTGTCTTTCAAATGGAATTTCACAGAGTTAATTTATGTACTTTTTAATTTAACATTCAGTCAAAGGGATTTATGTCAGTGTTGTCAAAAATATGGTCAATACTTTGAATAAGAAGACTAAGGAAGGAGCATATCAAAAATCTTAGGTACACCGCGATGGGCCTCAAATATGGCCGACTTAAATTCTGGTTTATCAGTGTCGTTCTAATTTTATTTAAAAAATGTAAAACTATGATGTAGGGTAGACGTGGGGTAGACTCAATAATTTGTTGTTTTATTTTACGTTGTGAATAATTGTTGGTAGTTATTAAAATTGTTATAAAAATATATAATTCTAATAAAAATAGATAAGTTATAATAAGTATTTATTAACACAAACATCCGATACGCTACTGAAGCAGGTAAGTCAAATTAACGTATCTAAATTCTTTTAACATCTAATCTTTGACAAGTAATAAATAAAAGCTAAAATGCAAGAAAAAATATATAATTTAGTTAATTTAAGTGAATTTCATAAATGATCGGTTTACTACACGTATGTATATTATATAGTCACTTACTAGCGAAAAGTTGTTCCATTATTTCACTCAATTTTTGCCGAGATCTACCGCACGCTACACAACCAACTATTTTAGAATCTTTTTCGATAAATCGCGATAGTGTTACTGTTAATTTAAGTTCTGCCACATTTTCCATCTAGATTTACTACCTTTATTCAACTATCAGTAGTAGAATAAATAATAAATAACATAAAATAAGCTCCGTAAAGACTGACAAATCCACAAAATTTCAAATCAAATTCAAATGTGTCAAATGAATCGTCAAACAGAACTGTCAAGGATCCCCACCCTAGAGTGCTTTTATGGTGCTTTTTCCGCCCACCATGCATGAATACATGGATAGCATTATGCTCCTTCCTTAGTCTTCTTATTCAAAGGGTCAATAGTTCAAGAAAATAACTTTTTTAAATATGAAGTTTTGGTAAAAACTTGAATTTTTGATATATAAGTTACTTTGAAATTTCTAAAAACGAGTTGTGAAAGATTTTTTTTAAATTCACCCCCGAGAAGGGGTGAAATAAATAAACAAAATTATTTTTTCGAAATTTCGGATAAACGGTAAGAACTAGAAAAAAAAAGTTCAAATAAAAGTTGTTGAGCGTCAAATTTTACCTAGAAATGATCACTATATTTTTTTGCTCAGATCAAAATTAACTAAGATAGGATGGCTAGAAGCTTTTGTTGATTATACGAAAACGGAAAGATGTAGAAACAAAATATTTTATGGGTGTATATAGGGAGGCAATGTGCACAATTTAAAATTATTTTTAAATATACAGGGTGTTTCAGAACTAAGATCCAAACCAAAGTTATATTTTTTCTTATGGAACACCCGGTATTTTATTTCATTTTTGGAATCTTTTGCTCAAAGAAAGGTATTTATTATAAGGGTTAAATATGTTTAAAATCTTTAGTTTTTGAGATATTTAAAGATATTTAAAAATGCATGCTACAATAGAATATATTATTCACATCCTGTACATTGCTTTTCAGAATTAATTCTTGTGCTGAATTTAAAGGTAGAGAAATAAACTTTACTGAAAAATTTGATAAAAACTTTGTTATTTCAAATACAACGCCCTGTATTTTTTAAAATAAATTGAAGCAGATTCAAATGCTCTTTTAAACTATATTAGGGTTTCCTATACCTATCTGGCTCAGGTTTTGAATAAAAAGCGATTTTTCAATAAAATTGTAATTAAGATGGCTGGTGTCGCCATGGCAATTTTCTAGTGACACTTAGTAGCTATTTTCAAAATTGACATTAGTTTATGGACTTTATTTAAATTTATAACAGATTATTTTTATTTAATTTACCTACAATAAAGTTAATAAGTAGTATTTATTATTTTATCAAGAAAAATGAAGCAGTATCTGCTAGCGGAAAGAATGGATATATTACTATGGGTTATTTTATTTTGTGAGGACAATTGCTTGGTTGGCCTGAAGGGTTTATGCTCAAAGATATCTAAATAGGAATTTTTTTGACAAGAGTTCATTTGAAATACTACTTTTCCTATTTCGCAACTGATGTGCACGCACAGTGTGGTTGTGAAAAATCTATTAGGCAGAAACCTGTCATTGGAAGTGAAGAAAATTAATTTGCCTTAATTGGTTCTTTTATAGAAAATCCAATATTATCTACAAGTCATCGTAATATAAATCAAGGAACTACTTTTCTATTTTTCTTGATAAAATAATAAATACTTCTTACGTATTAAACTATTGTAGGTAAATAAAATAAAAGTAAAATGTTATAAATTTAAATAAACGTTTTTTAAATTAGGTACTACCTGTCAATACCATAGCAAATTGCCATGGCGACACCAGTCATCTTGATTGCCATTTAATTGAAAAATCGCTTTTTATTCAAAATCTGAGCCAGATAGGTATAGGAAACCCTAATATAGTTTGAAAGAGCATTTAAATCTGCTTCGACTTATTTAAAAAAATACATAGTGTTACATTTGAAATAACGAAGTTTTTGTGTAAAATAAATACTTAAAATAGACCAGCAATTTTTGATACCCCTGTATACATTTAAGGAAGCAATAAAATTTTTTTAGTAAAGTTTATTTCTCTGGCTTCAAAGTCAGCACAAGAATTAACTCTGAAAAGTAATGTACAGGGTGTTGACAAACTTTTTTATTATATCATGCATATTTAAATATCTTTGAATATCTCAAAAACCAAAGCATTTAAACATATTTAACCCTTATAACAAATGCCTTATTTTATGCCCAAGAATCCAAAAATGAAATAAAATACCGGGTGTTCCATAAGAAAAAATATAACTTTGGTATGGATCTTAATTCTGACACACCCTGTACATTTGAAAATAATTTTAAATTATGCACATTGCCTCTCTACATACCTGGTGTTGCATCGTCGGACGGGACATAAGAAATCCCATGTAAATTTTAATGGGGTCAATAATTATTGACTTACCTAATTATTTTAGAGAATAATTCTATTTAGGTTTATTGAAGAGCACTAAAACCCACATTCAAAAGAATAACTTTAGATATTTTTGATTAGCTCGTTTACGAGTTATCGCTGATTTCTTTTTAAATATTTCTCCTTTCTTATGGCCCTGTATTTACTTATGAGCACCAGTCATGCACCACTCAAGGTAAAAGATAACTGTCAAATGAAGTTGTCATTTCAGAAATTTACCTATTTAGTGCTTTATTATTATTGAAAACTCATTCCTACATCGGAAATCTTAAAGATGTATTTATAAATACAAATTAATATGAATTAAAGTAAAATAAAGTAATCAATTACAAGGTTAATTATAGTATTATTACAATATTCAATAACTTATTAATTTAGGTACTATTAAATGACAACTTCATTTGACAGTTATATTTTACCTTGACTGGTGCTCATAAGTAAATACAGGGCCATAAGATAGGAGAAATATTTAAAAAGAAATCGGCGATAACTCGTAAACGGGCTAATCAAAAATATCTAAAGTTATTCTTTTGAATGTGGGTTTTAGTGCTCTTCAATAAATCTAAATAGAATTATTCTCTAAAATAATTAGGGAAGCCAATAATTGACCCCATTAAAATTTACATGGAATTTCCTATGTCCCGCTCGACGATGCAACACCCGGTATATGTACAACATAGACACCTTTGGCAAGTTATTATTAGCAATAGGAGATTTTTAATGCGATAAAAAAGATGACACGGTTGCAGTCTACTCTGCAGTATAACAAATACAGATAACTTTGTTTTCCCATCCACTGATTAGAAGAAGTGACACAATGAGTGAAAAGATAACTTCTGGGAGAGGGGGCACAAGCGTATAATTGAATAAAAATGTTAAATATAGGGAAATTAAAATAACTTTGGTTGCACATCATAATACGACCACCAGCAAACTCCATAAGACGACCGACGACGCATGGTGTCATTGATGACGTGCAACCAAAATTGTTTTAATTTTCTTATATATGAATTTTTCAGCAACTTATACAGGGTGCCGCACCTCATTCGCCTCGGTTGATTATACGAAAGCGGAAAGATGTAGAAACAAAATTTTCTATGGGTATATACTACAGATTAATATATTTTATTATATTATATATTTTAATATATAATACCGTATGATCGAAAAAAAATGGCGTCCAGTTGGCTGGGAAATGAAGATCGCTGTCATTTTAAATGTAAATTTATATGGGAAATGCCATCGATCGTCATTTCCCAGCCAACTGGACGCCGTTTTTTCTCGATCATACGGTATAATATATATATTATATATATATATATATATATATATATATATATATATATATATATATATATATATATATATATATATATATATATATATATATATATATATATATATATATATATATATATATATATATATATAGCATATATATATATATATATATATATATATATATATATATATATATATATATATATATATATATATATATATATATATATATATATATATATATATAATATTATTATATTTTATTATATTATTTATTATATTAATATAAAAAAAAATAACAAATTAATGTTAACTTACCTTTTAACAATTTTTTGATTTATTACAGTTTTGTTAGCCTTAGACGGTTGGTTGAGGAACGACAGCAAGAGCTTTATACTATTTTCTGGCGCTGCCATAATAATCTTTCGTGCAGAACTAGCCCTATTTCTAGGAATACTACTTCTGTACGATCTAGTTTATCAAAGGATCACAATCAAAGGGTAGGTCAGTAACGACTATTATATCAACTTTCGTTCTAGTATTTTTACCAGACTTTTCGTAGATTTCTGCAAGTCGCCGTGCCTGGTGGTGTGTTCTTTCTTTTGCTTTCGGTGGTTATAGACTCGGTGTTCTGGAATAGACCGTTGTGGCCTGAAGGCGAAGTGCTGTGGTACAATGTGGTGTTGAATAAAAGCTCAAATTGGGGAGTATCCTTTTATAAGACTGTTTCGTAATATTATCATTTACACTTATTTTATTATGACAAATAAATTATCTTAGTAATTACTATACATTTTTCAACGCCAAGAGGCACCAAACAAATACAGGTAGCTTCGTGAATGTCTAAAAATTGATATTCGTAAAGGCGCATTCTCACGACTCGTGTACTTGACAAACATTTGTTATTTGAATATACTCGCCATGTCGTGAGAACGGTTTCCTTGGTCACTCTTCGCGTCCTCACTTTCTGTCGGTAAATATAGACCGAGTCAAAGGATCACAATTATTCGTACACTTGCCAAGTGTACTTGGCCAGCCTTGTCTATACTTGCCGAGACGAAAAAAAACGACTGCGCAAATAATTTTATTGTTATAGAGTATATCCCGTTTATTTCCGGATCGTAGTGTTTTTCGATTTAATTGCGGATAATTCAAAACGCTAAAACAATAATAGATTATATAATATCAAATCTACATTAATAACTTCAATTGGCGACATTTCAAGAGGATTCTAAGAAGAAATTAAGTGGATTGGAAGATTTTTAGACCGGATTAGAGTATTTTTATGGTTGGTACAAGGTAACAAGCGAAGAAAATGGAGGAAGTAAGCAAATTATTGGGCGATTTTATGGAGAATATGAGAAGAGAGAAGGCAGAAGAACAAGAAATACTCCGTAAAGAACGAGAAGAAGAGCGAGCCCGACTAGAAAAAGAGAAAGCAGAAGAAAAAGAAGAAGAAAAATTACGCCGTCAAGAAGAACAGGACCGGCTTGAGAAAATATTAGGAAATTTGGAAATTCGTTTGGAGGGGAGCGACGTCAAAAAGAAAGACAAGAAGAACAGGACCATATTCAGAAAATTTTAGAAAATCAAGAAATTAGACAAGAACGGTTGGAGAAAATTGTTGAAGATTTAGAAGTGCGTCGCCAGAAAGAAAAATTAGAAGATCAAAATCGTTTTAAGAAGAACTTTGAAGAACTGAAAAAAAGGCAAGACATCCACCTTCAAGAAGCCGTAGAAGATCTTGAGGAACGCCTTCAGCAGAAAATGGAAAAATTAGAGATAGAGACCTACAGAAGACCAAGGTACAAGTAAGGACACCTGGCGTTCATGGAACTGCGAACCTCAAGGCCCCGACCTACGATGGACAAACCACCTGGACGATGTACCACCGCCAGTTTGAAGCAGCGGCTGCTGCCAATGGATGGACTGACCAGGAGAAAGCAGCGGCACTTGTCATCGCGCTGCGTGGCCCTGCCCTGGAACTCCTGCAAACTATTCCTGTAGCCCAACAGCAGGAATACCAAACTTTGGTCGCTGCACTGGACAAAAGATATGGCGACCAACATCGACGTCAACTTTACCAGGCCCAGATCAAGACACGCCTGCAGAGGTCCGGAGAAAGTCTGCAGGAATTCGAAGCAGATTTACGTCGGCTGGTACACCTAGCGTATCCTAAAGCACCGGAAGGATAGGGAGGAACTCGCTGCTCAGTGCTTTATTAGTGGATTAAAGGACAACGAGTTACAGAGGGCGCTGCAAATATCCCGATTTTCTACAAGCAGCGAAGCGCTGGTCAGGGCGCTGGAAATTGAAGCTGCTTTTAGCGCCATCCCTAGGCCGAAGATAAGATCGGTATCGGTCGAGGAACAGCCCGGAAGTTCTCACATACGTTTGGAGGAGATGTTTAGTAAACTATGTGAGTTACTACTGAACAAGAGTAGCAACACCACCCAGACAGAGAACCATAGAAGATCACAGGACATAAGGTGCTATAGATGTGGCAGGAATGGCCATATCCAACGGGATTGTCGCATCCAAATGACATTCCGTTCATCATTAAGAGAACATCGGCATATTGGAAGATCCCAGGACATAAGTTGCTATAGATGTGGCAGGAATAGCCACATCAAACGGGATTGCCGCGTTGAAATGCGATTCCGTTTACCCTTCAGAGAACATAGGCATCAGGAAATTAATACCAACGGGCGAGTATTGGCTGAAGAAAACAGAGACCCCTAGGATGTTTTCCATTAGGAGTCTAGGAAAAACCGCTGACAGTTTGGTGATCAACGGAAGGTCAATGGTAGAAGAATTCGAATGACTGTGGATACAGGCGCTATGGTATCGTTGGTGCGGACTAACTCAAAGTGCATTGGAAAGTTGAAGATGATGCCTCTTAGAAAAGAGTGTATTTACGTACAGTTACGAGGGAAATGGCTGTTGTACGGGAGAGGCTTCATGGAACTGGAGTTAGGGGAATTTGAAGTTTCGGCATAGCGTTTTAGTGGCAGACATTGAAGATGATTTTATCATGGGTATGGATGTGATCAGTCAACATGGTTTTTCGTTCGATCACCATAGAAACATCCTGAAAATCGGAAATGAGGAATTTTCTGTATCTAAAGAGAAGAGACCAGGAAATATGGAAGCAAGATCAGCGGAAATTGTGATGATACCTGGTGATGCCAAGAAGACTGTGTTCGGAAAAATGGAGAAAACCTCTGAGTGCCGCGTAGGAGGGGTACAAATTATCGACAACGAACTAGATCGACGACGAGCTACCTTGGGCAAGAAAATGAAACATCGTGAAAGCACTATCAGAGTAAGGAGTTTTAAGCTTGGAACCGATGAACAGTGGACGACGACACAATTGAGGAAAGACCAAATGGAAGATCCAGACATCGGGGCAATACTACGGCTCAAGGAAGGTAACGGCGAGAGACCACCGTGGCAGGATATTGCGGACAGAGGGCTCGTTTTCAAAGCTCTCTGGGCTCAGTGGAATTCACTGGTTATTCAGAATGGATTGTTAAAGCGCACGTGGGGAAAGTGCGGATGGCAGGACAGTAACAACTCAGTTACTGGTACCAAGGAAGAAAGTTACCCAGGTATTGGAAGAAATTCACGGTGGTAAAACTGGAGCCCATCTTGGGGTAAAAAAAACCTTGAGCAAGCTGAGAGATCGCTTTTACTGGGGGAATTATTGCGAAGATGTCAAGAAATGATGTCGACAATGTAAAATTTGTGCAACCAGCCAAGGACCAAGCACTCGATCTAGGGGAAAAATGAAACAATATAACGTGGACTTCCATTCGAAAGAATTGCTGTTGACATTGCAGGCCCATTCCCTGAAACGCACAAGGGCAACAAGTACGTTTTAGTGGCGATGGATTATTTCAGTAAATGGCCAGAAGTTTTTGCCATTCCAAACCAAGAAGCATCGACTGTAGCTGAAGTATTATTAGTCAATAATGTCTTCAGTAGATTTGGAATTCCCTTAGAGCTTCACACTGATCAAGGAAGGAACTTCGAGTCAAGACTGTTTCAGAAGATGTGTGATCTGCTTGGTATTCACAAGACTAGGACAACGGCTTTACATCCGCAGTCTGATGAGTGGTCGAAAGATTCAATAAGACCATTGAAGAACACCTCTCGAAAGTGGTGGACGAACATCAGAGAGATTGGAATCAGCACATACCGCTATTCCTAATGGTGTATAGAAGTGCAATTCACAACACCACCGGACTTTCACCATCGAAGATTTTGTTTGGTCCAGAATTACTGTTGCCGTGTGACTTGGTGTTCGGATCACCAGACGACGGCACCTCAAACGTAGAGGACTACGCGGATGAACTGAAGGAAAGGTTATTGGAAATTCATAAGACCGTTAGAAGTAAGATTGCGCTAGCCAGTGACCGGATGAAAGGTCGTTACGACCTCAGAGCTAATTCTACGAGATTTCAGCAGGACGATAGGGTATGGTTGTATAACCCACAGCGCAAGAAAGGAAGGTCCCCAAAGTTAACTTCAGCATGGGAAGGTCCTTATACAGTCATCAAGAGGATAAATGATGTTGTGTACCGGATTCAGCGCAGCCCTAGAAGTAAGATGAAAGTAGTTCATCTCGATAGATTGAAGAGATACCAGACAGGAAACCTTGATCGGGACGATCAAATTTGAGAAGGGGGCAATGTCAAGATCATACAGGTTGCATAACTGCATTACTGCTACATAACCGCAACGTGCATTGAGGAACCTGGCGAATTCGACAGAAAGTAAAAGAAAATTACAGAATTCTTTAGAAAATTCCAGAAACCATCGCCAGGGGGTATATAAGGCCCGCGCTTTGACAGTTGGACCAGTCTGAAGATAGTCTGAAGTCTGAAGTTTGATAATACCGCGAAATACCGTTAGAGTAATAGTAGTTGCATAAATTGTGTTGTAAATAGTATAAGTTGTGGTACAGAGTGAGACAAATAAATTCGTTAAGTATTTTATCGTGAGTTTAAATAGTGGACCCACGGAATCCGTAACAGTATTATATGTTATAAATTTATGTATTTTAATAAAAACCTACTTAAATATTAATTTTCTTCCTACAACAAAAAAATAATATTTTAGATCGTCTACTAACAGGGCATTATAAGCTGAATAGGCATCTAAATCTAATGGGATTGACGGACGAAGCCTTGTGCAGGTTCTGTCAAATACATAATGCAATTGCCGTAGCAATTAATTATCTCTGACTCATTGAATAGATTTTAGTTAGTTAACCAATAAAATGCATATTTTTATACGAATTGAGTGAGACTAACCATTCTTTCCTTAACAGTAAATTCTAGACATCACCATTTTTATGGTACTTCTATTCAGCTATACCTAGAGGACTAGCTACGTCTACACTTCTAGTTCCTGTCGGGTGCTTTTTGGACGAGCGAGTTAGGAGACTCGTACTTCCATCGTTGTTGTTTGTTTTTATATATTCGTTTCTACCTCACAAAGAACTGAGATTTATCATCTACATCTTTCCATTTTTGAATGTTGCCGCAGCCACAGCATGCCATCGAATGTAAGTAATTATTTGTCGAGCGATTTTATTTATTTCTAAGATTTTATTTTTTAATTTTTTCTTTTTATATTTTTTTCTTTTATTTTTTTATTATTTCTTTTCTTTATAAGGTGTTTACTAAAATGGAATGGGTGATTTATTTTGGTATATGTTCATTACACAGAATGCCGTGAAACGATTCTTGATTCCCACTTATTTTAATATACAGGGTGACGCACCTCATTCGCCTCGGTTGATTATACGAAAACAGAAAGATATTGAAACAAAATATTTTATGGGTATATGTATGTGGGGGAGGCAATGTGTACAATTTAAAATTATTTTGAAATATACAGGGTGTTTCAGAACTAAGATCCATACCAAAGTTAATTTTTTTCTTATGGAACACCCGGTATTTTATTTCATTTTTGGATTCTTGGGTCCAGAAAAAGGTATTTATTATAAGGGTTAAATATGTTTAAAATCTTTGGCTTTTGAAAAATTTAAAGATATTTAAATTTACATGCTACAATAGAATAGATTATTAACACGCTGTACATTACTTTTCAGAATTAATTTTTGTGCTGAGTTTAAAGATAATAAACTTTACTGAAAAATGTTATCGTTTCCTTAAATTTATACAGGTGTCTGGTCTATATAAAAACTACACTACCAGCTCTGCGAAATAGGACAAGTAATTTTTCAAAGAAACGCTTATCAGGAAGATTCCTTTTTGGATATCTTTGATCATAAGCTCTTGAGGCCAAGAAGCAATTCTCCTCACAAAATAAAATTACTAGTAACATATCCATTCATTCCGCCAGCAGATACTGCTTTATTTTTCTTGATAACATAATGAATACTTACTTATTAAACTATTGTAGGTACATCTATGTAAGTAAACTGTTATAAATTATAAATAATAATGTCCATAAACTAATGTCGACTTTGAAAATAGTTACTAACTGTCACTAGAAAATTGCTATGGCGACACCATCCATCTTGATTGCAACTTTATTTATAAATCGCTTTTTATTCAAAATCTCAAATAGTTAGGTATAGGAAACCCTAATATAGTTTAAAAGAGCATTCAAACTGCTTCGGTTTGTTTTAAAAAATACAGGATGTTGCGATGGTGCATTTGAAATAACGAAGTTTTTATATAGCAATTTCTGATACCCCTGTATAAATTTAAGGAAGCAATACCATTTTTCAATAAAGTTTATTGCATTACCTTTAAAGTCAGCACAAGAATTCATTCTTAAAAGTAATGTATAGGGTGTTAATAATCTATTCTATTGTAGCATGCAAGCTTAAATATCTTTAAATATCTCAAAAACCAAAGATTTTAAACATATTTAACCCTTATAATAAATGCCTTTTTCTGGGCCCAAGAATCTAAAAATGAAATAAAACACCGGGTGTTCCATAAGAAAAAATATAACTTTGGTATGGATCTTAGTTCTGAAACACCCTGTATACTTCAAAATAATTTTAAATTGTACACATTGCCTTTGTCTACATCTTTCCGTTTTCGTATAATCAACCGAGGCGAATGAGGTGCGCCACCCTGTATTATTATTAATTTTAATTATTATTTAATCTACTGTAATAATACACACACCGGAAAAATCTAGGGATATCATTTTATTAAAGTTAAAAATAAATGTTTTGAATAAACAACCACATATTTGTAGGCCGATTCTTTCTACTTCGATTGAAACGAAGTAGTCACACTAGTTATTTCTAAATTTGGGATATTTGCAGAAGTGTTTGTGCATTTTTTGTCAAATGTATAAAAAGCACCTAGCATTAATTGTTCGAATTTAACTTGTACTGGCTATGTTTTTATACCAGAATTCATTCAAATAACTCTGTTTAGTATTAAACGACATTATGGAGCGTAGACATCTTAAGGAGCGAAGTGCTAAGGGTCATGGGTATGCTCGACGCTGGAATGCGCCAAAACGACGTAGCTAGAGCATTAAATACAACGCAAAGTGTAATATCGCAATTAAGTGCACGCTACCGTGAAAGTGGTGATGTTGCTGAAAGGCACACAGGGCGACATCGCATTACTACCCCTCAGCAAGATAATTTTTTACAATTAAATGCTCGACGCCGACCGACTCTTACAGCACTAGAGTTAAGTTTAATTCTCCAGGAAACACATAATGTAACCGTTAGTCCTGACACTGTTGGCAATAGATTAAGAGAGGTTAACTTAAGAAGCAGACGCCCCTGGAGAGCTCAACCCTTAACGAGAGAAATCGAGAGGTACGATATTTGTGGGCTCAAGATCATGTTCAGTGATCGAATGAACAATGGGCAAATGTTCTTTTCACGGATGAGTCACGCTTTGGAATTCATCCAGATTCGAGAAGGCTTAGGGTATGGAGAGAACCGGGAAATCTTATTCGGTTGGATCATGTTCAGGAAGTGCACCCTTATCAAGGTGGAACAGTTATGGTCTGGGGAGGAGTTCAGTTAGGCCGAAAAACCGATCTTGTTTTTCTTGAAAGGTTTCTAACAGGAATCACATATCGTGATTTAATTCTTGAGCCTGTCGTGTTACCATATGCCATTGATTTTGGGAGAAACTTCATTCTCATGCATGACAATGCACGGCCTCATACAGCCAGAGTGGTAAGTGAGTTTATCAATGCTCATCAATTAATCTTACCCTGGCCGGCACAATCTCCTGACCTCAACCCCATCGAGCACGTATGGGACGCGGTCCAAAGAAGAATTTTGAGAATGGGTATGCCTCGTGAAACTCGTAGGGATCTAGTTCGGGCCGTGAATGCAGCGTGGCAGGCTGTATCTCAAGAAGAGATCGACAACCTGATCAGGAGCATGGAGAGACGATGTAGGGCTGTAATGAACAGTAGAGGAGGCCATACCTTTATTAAGTAAAATGGTTTTATTCTTTTTTTTTAATTCACAGTTTAGAATAAAAAAAATGTGTGTATTTTTTTGAGTTCAATAAAAATCAAGGTAAATTTGAAAAATTCGGTAAATTTCGCATTTTTATTTCCAATACGTCCTGTAAACTATTTGTTTATTTTAATTTTATTATATCAGAAATGCAAATAATAAAATTACTGACGATGGCTGGATAAAACTGTAATATCCCTAGACTTTTCCGGTGTGTGTATTTTACGTAACTGTATTGTGACTTTTTTTCGATTTTTTTCAGTTGGGAGAACAGAAACAAAACTCCCATCTATCATTTCCTGTCGCTGGGTGTAGGGGGACACCTAGCGGCCAACATTTTCTTCACTCTGTTCCTTCTCAGCATATCGGGGACTAACTATCCCGGTGGAAGTGCCATATCACATCTGAATAGACTGGCCAGACATGAACCAATGGTCCACGTGCACATATCAAATTTGGCCGCCCAGACGGGAGTCTCCAGATTTACTCAGATAAATAGTTCTTGGATGTAAGTGTTAATTTTAACTGAATAAGTAAAGTTTGTCCAGCGAGAGACCCCTAACAATGGCAGTTGTATCTGTAATTTTAACTCAAAAAGCGCTTTCAGATGGATCGGAGCGTCGGCGCTGTTCATCAGCGTGTTTTTTCAAGATGACCGTCGGACGAAATCATCCGGACAGAGCATATGCGACCCATGTGAAATTGTTCATATTATAAACTCATAGTACTGGCCCGAAGCCGCATCTGAAAGCGGTGATAAATTTTATTTTCTGTCACTGACTATCAAAATCTTCCATGATTGGTTGGATAGACATTATTCAGACTCTTCGAATAAAACACTTGGGAATTTTGTTTAAGTGGAAACCTAAAGTATGTACGAGGATGTACCGTACATCTGCTGGATCTGTGCCTATGAAAGGAATGCGGACAAAAAACATTTAAATAAACAGCAATATATTTTATACGTCGATTTGACGAGTGCGTCACCGCAAATCGCTCCACCCACTCATTTTATTGGCTACTTGCAAATTTGTTGAATTTTTATTGATGGGACGCGTCGTCTATTTTTTTACGAAAAACATCGAGAGAATATCGTTTCCCCTCTCACGGATACCCCGTAGCTACAGAACGGACAGACGTACTGCATTTCAGGAAAATATTTAAACTTTTTTAGAGTGGCTCAAAAAACTGTGAGTTGGTCAGGATATTTTTTTTTTCAAATGGAACACCCTATATATTATTGCATTTTAGGCTTCCTTTCAGATCACTTTACATTATCGTAAGATATGAGTCGATGGTGTCAGAGATATTAATAAATAAATAAAAAATATATATTTTTCAGCATTTTTTAAAAAAATTGTTAAAAATACAAACTGAAATCAAAACTATATTAGGTATGTACTTTAAATGGTCGGTACTTGGTTTTGCTATAAATATTGCAATTGTAAATCATACAGGATGTTTAAAATTCTACGCCAAACATTCTAAAATATAAAATAATATAATTTTTTTTAATGAAATACCCTGTATATTATTCTTTCAATAGATGGAGTATTAACAAATTAACATTTTTTATATTTAGAGTATTTAAAATTTTTTAACGGTTTCGCAGATATTCGCGGTTTTATACACTCACCGGCCAAAAAAAATGGCCACTAAAAACTAGTCCCAATTTCAAAGTTGGATTTCTCGCGAACCACTCATTAGATTTTGATGATTTTTTTTTAAATTGTAAATTAATTCCTTCTTAACGGATTCTACGTCAGCAATTTTTATTCCGAATTTATTTTGAGCATATACAGGGCACAACAATAAGACGAAGTTTTTTGTCCAAATTTTGTAACATCCTGTAGGGTGCAGCAGCTATGATAGCTATTGCCACAGACTAACCTAAACAGATGCGACAAACAATGCAAATGTGAAAATTACATTTTGGCGAATGCGCCAGGCAAATTTTTCCGTTAGATTTGTCATATAGGCGAATTTTACAGCGGACCAGCAAAGTAGCCTCCATTCGTTTACTAAGAAGCCACACCTCCTTTGTATAGAAAATAGAGAGGGAATTTTGTAGTTCGGAATCAAATAGAGATGATTTTAATTTCATTAGTTTTTTTTCAACTTTTGATACATTCACAATCTATACCTACTAATATATAAAATTCTTAAGTGACTGACTCACTGATTAATCACGATCCTGCTCAAACCACTCAACGTAAGAAGCTCAATTTTGGCATACAGGATAATCTCATTATTATCCTAAGATATAATGACTTAATTTCAAAACTTACTAAAGGTAAATTAAGTATACTGCTATTGTCTAAGGATTCGTAAATTTTAGGTAGAATAAGTATTTTATTTTGCGAAGATGTGTCAGAGTTTTTATTTTCCTGTTTTTTAGTCATTGATCTTGTTACAGCTAGTATTTTAGCCGATTGATTAGAAATTTCTTTTAAATCTGATGTTGTTATTCTTGACAGTGCGTCCGCACCTACATTGTTTTTCCCTTTAATATACTCGACTTCAAAATCATATTCCTCTAAATCGAGTCTCATGCGCGTTAATTTTGATGAAGGATTTTTCATCGAAAATAAATATACTAGCGGCTTATGATCAGATTTAACCAAAAATTTTACACCATACAAATAGGGGTCTAAAATAATTTATTGCCCAGTGGATTGCCAGCAATTTCTTGTTCAATGGTTGCTTTATTGGATCTGCCTTTTGTGAATGATTTTGATGCAAATGCTATGGGTAAGTCTTTACCATTAAAGTCTTGTGATAACACAGCTCCACACGCATCTTTTGATGCATCTGTTGTTACTATAAACTGTTTGTTAAAATCTGGGTATTGCAATATTTGAGGTTGGACCAGAGCAGTTTTTAACTTTTCAAAAGAATTTTGACAATCTTGTGACCAAACAAAAATTATATTTTTCCTAGTTAGCTTATTAAGCGGTTTAGCATTTGTCGGTGTAGGAAATTTGTTTATGATTTCAAACTTTGAATCGTCAGGCAAAATGCCATGACTTGTTATTTTATGGCCTAAAAATGTGACCTCCTTTTGGAAAAAATTACACTTTTCTGGGTTAAGTTTTAAATTGTATTTTCTACAAGTATAGAAAACCTTCCTCAAATTTTGCAAATGATGATTTTTTGAACAGCCTATAACAATTAGATCATCCATGTATAAGAATGCTTTTTCCGGTGTAATTCCAGCAAATGCTATCGACATCATCCTTTGGAAACTGTTTGGGCTAACCTTTAGTCCAAAGGGTAACCTAGTAAATCTATACGAGCCATTATTTATACTGAATGTCGTGATATCCCTGGAGTTCTTTTCCAAAGAAATCTGATGGAATCCGGCTTTTAAGTCCAACGTTGAGAAATATTTTGCTCTACCTAGTTGATCAAGGCTGTCATCTATTCTAGGTAGAGGAAACTTATCTGCACTTAGTTTCTTGTTTACCTGTCTATAGTCAATGACTAATTGCCATTTATTTTGGTCATCAGTTGACTTTTTAGGTACTAATAAAATCGGACTATTATATTCCGCTGTTGATGGTTCGATTATTTAATTTTCCAGCAATTTGTTGACTTGACAATTTATTTCATTTGTTTGTGTCGGCGTGCCGTAATTTTTTATATAAACTGGGGTAGAATCAAACAATTTAAGTTTTTCTTCATAAAAGTTGTTTTTTGTTAATTTATCAGATGATAAACAAAAAATATCTGAAAATTCTTTACATAAATTAAAAGTATCGTTTTTTGCAAAGTCAGGGATGTTTTTGCTTAACTGTTGTAATAAATTTGATTCTCTATTATTTAGTTCCAGGTTAATTGAGTAAACATAAAAATTTTTTAGATTGGAAAACTGTATGTCAGCGTTTTTTTATTGTGACACTTTCAAATGTTGTATTTAAAAGTCTAACTATTGGATTTGATTTTGAAACAATTGAACCAGCAATAAAAACTCCGTCGGCGATTTCAGTATTCAAAATAACAGAATCAGTCTTTAGTTGCGTGAATTTTTTAATATACCTTATGACCTCACACCTAGGTGGGATGACCAAAGATTCCTCTTCTGGACATGAAAATATTGGCAATGTTGTTTTTTCGTTAAAAATTTGTAGTGTTAATGTCCAGTTAGCATAATCTAATTGACATTGATATTTCGAAATAAAGTCTCGCCCTAAAATTCCGTCAGCTGGTATTGGAAAGTTTTGCTCAACTATATGAAACGAGTGATTTATTGCATAATTATTATAAAAATTTGGGTGTTAGTTGTGCCTAAAGAACTCGTCGAGCCATCTGTAATACCTTTAATATTGCTTATGTTATATTCATTAATAAATTGTTTAGGAGAAATTTTAAAATTTTTAAATAAAGATATATCCGCACCTGTATCAACTAATAAAGTAATTTTGCGATTATCTGTCATGCTAGTTTGAACTACAACAAAGTTCGAAAGTGATAGGTCCATGTGGAATATTTTTATAGCGACCCCAGTGGACCTGGCTGGGGGTCCTGTACGTTTCCCGACTCTTCCTGAGTGTAATGCCTGACATATCTAGGAAACTGTCCTCTATGATTAGGCCTAGAGTTTCCTCGACCTCTATTATATTGACCATGATGATTATGGTACTGTTGATTTGCATTTAAATATCTCTGGGTGGGTCTATAGTCACTATTATTAGTATAGTTCTCTGAATAGTGTCCTCTTCCGCGACTTTGATGCCCTCTATGATGCCTGTTTCCAGCTCTGTAACGCTGAGAATTTCTTGTATAAAAGATTGTGCTACTATCTGGCGTAGTATCTCCACTAATAGTTATAAATTTAGAAATTGCTTCCTCGCAGTTGGTGAAATTGCCAGCCTCCATTATTAGTTTTACTTTCTCGGAATTACTGTTTGTTCTTAGAGCTTTGACTATCGTATTTGTCGTATAGGATTCAGCTACTGCTATGGGCACTCCTTCATTTATATAGGCTCTTTTCAGGGTTTCTGTTAGAACTTCAATCTCTGTGGCATATCTTGTGGAATCTTTATGTTGCTGTTTTAAAGAAAATATTTTTGCTGTTACCATATGAGAACTTTCTGTTTTAATGCGTGTTCGTAGCTTATTAATTATGGTATCCAGATTATCGTTATCATCAATTAAATCACGTGCTTTTCCAACCAGTCTCGTTTTCACATAGGCCACCGCATTATTTTCGTGGTTTTCGCAATTTACGCGCAGTAAATTTAAGGAGTCTATAACGGACTGTAATTTACTTGGAGAACCGTCGAATTCGTTGGGAAAAATTTTACTCGCAAAATTGAAAAATTCTGTTTTTGACATAGCCATGTTTTCAAGTTTTATTTTAGGAATATTTTGTTCTGGGATTGCCTCTGATTCAGAAGACTCTTCTTTATCTTCACTTTCCTCGAATTCTTCGTCAAATATTTCTAGATTTATATATTCCAAATACGAAGTTGGAACTTTGTAGGGTACTTTTAAAACCTGATATGA